CAAATTATAACATCTTGCGATATATTCGCGAGGCGAACAGTGTCGAAACAATGAGCGATGGCGAGTGTCCAAGGGGCTTCGAGCGGCCGAACACAGATCGAATCGCGGGCCTATTTTGAAAGTCGGCTAATTACGGAGCCATCGCTGCGTGGACGAGACAAAGACGCAACAAAAACTCTACCATTCATTGCATGCAAATCTCAAGAAAACGTTAAATGCACGAAGATACGAAAGATTTAGACGCTCAGTGGATTATATTCAGATCGGAAATTCCTAAGAACGTATTTTCTAATGTTGTATTTCATAATATTTTATAGTTTTTAGGTAAGAGTTTTAAGAAATTATATTTATATTAAAAATAGCAAATAGAAGCTAATCTTTATTTTTAAATATATTTTTTATTTACGGCTGTTTTTAAAAGTTAAATAAATTATGGCGAATCTTTCAAGGTTGATAAGATCTTTAGATATTTACAATCTGACTTATTGCAGCTGATATAATTATTACGCGACAATGAAACTTATCACACTAATTCCAAAGCGTGATAGAAAACGCCCTTCGAATTGCAATAACATACGACATATAAAATATGAAACTGATAAACATTTTTTATTAATTTCTAGCTGTCGCCCGCAACTGCGTTAGTCTATGTCTTGTCCCAGACTATGTTCTACATTTATGCTAAATTTCAACGAGATCCATGCAGCCGTTTTGGAGATACCTTTAAACAAACATACATCCATCCATCCGCCCAATTCGAATTTATAAAATTAGTAAGAAGTAAGATAGTAATACATCAGTGACTTGTATTAATTTATATAGCTTAAATTCTATTAATAATCATGTCTTTATAAGGAAAACTTATGCAGTATGGATATATTTATTTGACGCATAAATGCAAAGATAAAACATAAAAACAACAAACAAGTAACTCAGTGGAGTAAGGTAATTTAATTAACCTAGAGATAAAATTCAAATAACTAGAACAATAACTGTAATATTAAACAGTTGATGTAAATGTTGACAGACAAAGTGGTGAAGCATAACTATTATCAAACGAGATGTTTGAAAAGAATACATTATAGGATATGGCAACTTTAACAAAAATAATTCATTAACTTTCGCTACAAATTACTTCATTAGTCAAATGAATACCACCTCCAAATTCACTTAGCTTCATGTCACTGTACAAACAGTACAATGCACGTACAAGTCTCGTCTTTCCTGTACGTCACAATAGACTACGTCTGCAACTATTGGTCAACAATTACAATAATACATTAATTACATACGTTTACGAAACACGAGTATATAGAGGAAATATATTACCGCTTAATAATTTAATACAAATAATCCTGGAAATGCAGAAAGAAAAGGAAAATATATAGGATATCGACGAGAACTATGAGAAACAATGTCGAGAATGGAAAATTTAATATGATACAGTTGACCGATTGAGTGAATGTGAATTCTGATATGACGGCGGATAGAGTTGTATGAAATTAGTATTTGAGGCAGATTATCTTCTAAATATAATCAATGACAACAGAAGAACAATCAAGAAGTATTAATTATTTCGAAATAAATGTCACAATTGTGTAATAAATCTCCTCGACGTATCTTCACCTTAGAAGATATAGAGGGTCCAATAAATTCAGTTCAATAAAAAGGTTGCGTAGATTTACAGATCGGATTCTTCTTTTTAGTTGTTTGGTGGTAATTACCCAAAAAAATATATGTTACATAACAGCTACGGACATTTTAACAAGATTAAAAATCTATACATGCATTATTTCTAAATGTTTCGTAACATGGAAACTGACTGGATGTTTAATTTGAAATCAACCATTACAACATTGTTTACATACACTTACATCTAACGCAAGCTTATTACCAACAGCATCGACAGAGTTAAGAATATAGTAAACTGAACTTTTAGGTCGTTGATTTCTTCCTATGAAACTAATAAAGGGATAACCGATGCCGACCGCAAGATATGACCACCGATGCATTGGTTATATTTAATCGATGGTGAGGACGCACAGAAAAAAGGTATTTCACCTTAATAGGCCTATTCCGTCAAATTAATCGCCATCTTCACATTTCTTTCTTACAAGAAAAGGACGGTAAGAGAAGATGACCAAGATAAGGCCTCCGTACACACCCTCATCGAACGTAATTGTTTCAACTTCACGCCTATTTTATGCATAGTCTCCAAGTGTAAATTTTTCTTACTAAATCTACACTTAGAGACTTTTAAGTAACTATTAAACATCTGTGAGTGTAGCAGTAATCCGTGAAATACATTTGAAAGCTACAAGCATATGGTAAAGAATCATTTAACACTTGACCTGCGCTACTTTGACTCTTTTTTTAATAAAAAAACAACTAATTACACTTGATACCGCTCAAATGTAGTCATTTTGTAACGGTCTACACATCATTCTTGTGACGTAGTCCCACAGACATACTGACATTAGGCTACCGTTTGTTTTGTGGGAAAAATGTATTCCATTACTGTCACACAACAAGTATATTTAAAGCAACATGATAGGGATCAAAATCAAATGAATGTACAATACATAATAGTGTAAAATTGTCAATACGTGAAATACGGTTATACTTGTCACAAAAAAAAATCTTACTCGAATGCTATAGTAATGAGAAACTGTTTCTTTGTATCAAAAAAAAAACAAATACGTAACATTACTATCAATTTAATTTAACAGCAAAAACATTAGAATAACGATAGCTAAAGTCATAGTTTGTCTGTCTTTCTGCAAATCGGAGTAAGTTTAGGGCAAACTCCGAAACGGCTGGTCATAATTTTTCGGGACTTTTACTGGTAGTGAGCTTAAGTGTGCGGGAGTAAATTAGTCTATTTATATTTAATTTAGCGACGACGAAGTCGCGGGCAATCGCTAGTACTAAATAAGACATTTAAAGTATAGTAACAGATAATGTTACCAAATGCCAATGTAGGTTAGACGTAATTCTGTGACATTACATTTGGTAATTTAATCAAGGTTTTCCTTCACTTGTTGACATGCACGTCGTGATTGAGGCTACAGTTCGTGCCTTTCGCATAACTTTACGAATACTTTTAAAACAAAAATTTTAGTTCCCATTTAAATTAAACCGAAAAACCTTCTTATGAGAAAAAGCTAAATATTCTAGACCTAAAATTTCTCTTCACACAATGATTCGATACAGAACCCCTTACTCGGAGCTCCGAATTCTAACCCCTAGTCAGCAGTAACATCAGAATAGTTTGCAATCCTATGATTTTGTAGGATTGAAAAATTATTTCATATTATTTAATATTACGATATTGTTATTTGTTACGTGAGCTATTTGTATATTATTTTTATTGTACTGCAATAAATAATGAGTCAACTAATTTAGTATCATATTTTTTTAGTGACATCAGTGTAAATAGTTTATATGACGAAAAATTATAGTATTTAAATGGCTCGTTATTCCTGTGATCACAATCAACATAAGGTTAGAAATCCGTACCCTTAACCATTGGGCTATTGGCTATGTTCTCAAAACTTCACTACTGACCAACAATCATTAAAATATTCGTCATTGCATGAGGTCATATGTGACAATGTCTAAACATTCATATTCTGTGAAAGAAACAAAGATTTCTTACATAAAACAATTTGCACACACAAAATATTTGTTATATCCTTAAGACATTATCCTCTGTTTCAATTTAAACCATTATTGTTATCCTTTTCTTTTGAAAGAGAATTAGAAATATAACAAACAATCCTTTACATAGTCATAAATAAAAAATAATTAATTCCATTATTAATTAATAAAATATTTTTTTAATGTCTAGTAGAAGACAAGTGCAACTACTTTCTTATTTACCTTATCACCACTATGAACAATTGTAAATAGAAATGTTGCAATATGACTGATTATGACCAAAATTTATCTTTATCAATTTATTAAATGATAAGAACAGCTTTTATCATTAAAAAGTTAGTGTCAGTGCCAGGGATAGATAAGATGGTGATATTCCCAACGTTGAAGTACAGTTATATTTTACTTCCGTGACTATATTACACAAATATTTGTGGTCAATAGAACACATTCATAGACACACCTTAATCAATTTATCTTTTTGTCATGAGTACATATATAAAAATCTAATATCTAACCAAAATATGTTCTAGTTGTTTAGTTACAAGAACTGTAGCTCCCTAATATCACTGACAACTGTAGCCCTGTATCCCAAACAACCATCAAATAGGCAGATATTAAGTATTTCCATTTATTTTTCCCATTTTCATAAGTACTTTGGTAATGTAATGTTTTGACACATTTTCATCAATATATGCAAGGTGATAAATTCAAAGCAATAATTATCTTTGCACCTTTAATTAATACTAAACAACATTTTTAAGTATCAAAAAAAAACTAAAACATGTAAAATTTCACCACAAAATTCACAATAATGATTTAATGTAGAATTTTGATTTTCATTGAGAAATAAAGGCAAATATAATAAACATGCAGTGACCTTGATTGAAGAGACTGGTTTATGCATAGCAAATTTCTAAATTCACAACTTGAAACAGTGCTCGAGGCAAATTATATAAGGTAAAAGTTTATTTGAACAATCAATTTTTGAATGCGTGAAGAGAAATTGGTTCCAAATTGTTTAAGATACCATCTAGTATTGGATTATTGGCAAGATGAAAACGATAAGACTTGAAAGAATAGCGTGACCTGTGGAATTGCTTTCACTTAATAAACAATAGTATGATTCAACCTTCCTAGAAACGATAACATAACCCAAAAATAAAGAAAAAGAGAAATATTTTTTCATTACGTACAGACCGGATTTTACGAGAGTTATCTTGATTGCTGACAACAATCTACGAATTTTCTGCGTTAGTTAAGATATTCAACATGCATAGATATTATCAAAATTGATAAGGTTGCGGATTATTCTAATTACAGGTAAATCTTTGTTTAAATACCTTGTATACGAAGTCGAACAATATGGTCACTTTGTCACATGAATACACTGTTATGTTTTATCACTACAACTGATACACACACGAGTAACCGAAAATACTTGATAACGAAAAAGTTAAGTTCGAAATAATATTCACGGTAACAAAATTATGAATCGGTTACCTGTCGGCACAAATTCGTTTGAATTGATTGATTGATTGATATGGCGCTTTGTTTCATTCTTTCCATAGATTCCTTCATTCCTCGAATTAGTTCTTCGTTTCATTCGTTCTTCGTTCCTAACAATTCTCTTTACTTAGTTTTCAGTATAGTTCTGTTTTTGGAAATTATTTTAATATATCTAATTTATTAGAAAGACTACCGCTTTGTATTCGCTGGATTTGATTTCCATAAATTATATTTTCCTCAGGAAGGCTTAAATAAATCTAAAAAGTATGGCAATAACCTTAAATGTTTTGTCAACTTGACATTTGCATTACAATCAATTGTCAGTCATGTTTATCGTCAACGTTTAGAATTCTAATTTGTATTTATTAAATAAAATTAAGTAATTTTATCACATTGTTCAAATAACTTTCACCAAAACTAAATATTATAGTGCAATTCAGTGTGTTATTTTAATTTAAAAGTTTTATTAACCTATCATGGAAGACAATTCTGAAAACAAAAATGAAAACACCGAATTCAAGAAGCCTGTTCTCATTGGACGCATTGGAAAACTACCCAAAAAGGCGAAACTCGAAGCCGACAAGCCTAAGGAACCCAAAACAGAAGAAATTAATATACAAACATCTGAACCAATCGCTAAAAGTTCATTACCACCGGCGGTTCTAATGAAAGAGCTATCTACACCCATACCCTATAAAGAACCGAAATGGTCAGGAATTTGTCCGGATGGTTTGTATTATTGTAGTTTAATCTGTTATTAATTTGTGGAGAAAGTAAAAAGCAAGCCTTAAATTGAGATAGTATTTGTATTCATAAAATTATATTACAGGTTCGGAATATGGTCTTGAAGTGTTGAAATCTGGTATGATTGTTGAAAAAGTTGATTTAACAACCAAACCATTCTATGTTTTTGGAAGACTAGCTAACTGCGATGTTGTGATGGCACATCCAACCATATCAAGGTAATGTTTAGTTAATAAATAGTTGAACCTATTATGAGTTCCAACACCAAAGTAAAAATAATGTCAAACTCTAAAAGTGCAAGCAGAAACTTTCATTCAACAAATTTTTTGTCCAACTTTCTAAGAATAACTTAACAAAATTTTTTTACAATCTGGTTTAGTATACAATATGATATGACAATGTCTTTTTTTATTCCAAAGGCACCATTGTGTCCTGCAATATAAAGCATTTGCTGATGAAGGTGAACCACCTTGCGGTTGGTACTTGTATGATCTGGGCAGCACTCATGGAACATTCCTTAACCGGGACAGAATAAAAGAGAAGCACTACAGCAGAGTCAGAGTTGGTCATCAAATCAAATTTGGGAACAGCACCAGGACATATATTTTACTTGTAACTATTTTAACATTCCATACTAAATACATAGATTGTATTAATAATTGCAGTGGTAATGGACCACCTTGATAGTTCACTTTGATATAAAAAAATTGGTGGCATGTAACATTTTAAATGTGTTGGAACATATTTCTAATCATAATATCCTGCAATCATGAGTTTCCACTTCCAAAACATATACTTATACCTCTGTCAAATAATACAGATAACAATATTTTTTTGCACATGTGTTGTCTAATGGGAACCAGTTTCTCTTTTTTTTAACTTGTATTTATCTCATTTTACAGGGTCCAGACTTTGATTGTGAGGGTGAATCGGAATTAACAGTGACAGAAATTAAACAAAAAGCATTAGACATGAAGTTGACAAGAGCAAAGATGATACAAGAAGCAAAGGAAGCAATGGAGAAGGAAAGACTGGAGGAAGAGAAAAAAAGAGAGGAACAAGGAATTGATTGGGGAATGGGTAATTAGATTTTCTTACACAACAAACATTTAAAGTTGATTGTCTTTTTTCTCTGTCACACTGGAATTTTTATTTTGACTTGATCCTGTATGTTTGTTTTCTAGGCGAAGATGCAGACGAAGAACCTGACCTTGCAGAAAATCCATACGCTACCACTGCCAATGAAGAGCTATACTTGACGGATCCTAAAAAGACGTTGCGTGGATATTTTGAAAGAGAAGGTCATGAGTTAAGCTATAATTGTGAAGAAAGGGGTGTCGGCCAGTTTATTTGCAGGTAATTATATGTTTTAAAACTTTGATTCTATTGTTCAGCGGACTACTTAAATAGTTGAGCAACTAATCTTTCAACTAGTTGGTAGAATATTTGAACTGTTATATAGTGACCATTTGTTGCAAAAATTTCATAGTAATTGTTTAGGGTGGAACTACCGATTGATGACGCCCGAGGTCGTCCTGTGGTGGCAGAGGTGATCCATCGCGGTAAGAAGAAAGAGGCCGTAGTCGCTTGCGCCCTAGAGGCATGCCGGGTACTCGACAGAGCTGGACTATTAAGGCAGTCAAAACATGGTAAGTAAATACTTTTACTAATACTCTTATTAGTGTAATAATATTTGTTACAGGGGCCATAGCACGAAAATTTGCAAGAAAGTATGCGTAATATTACAAAATTTAACAAACTTATTTTGGTTGATGACGCTATGAAACCTTTTTCGAAAATTTTCGTGCTAGACCCCTTTTTGTTTCATAGTAATATCACATGATATATTCAAGTAACAAGAATGGATTTAATCAACTTGTTGTTTTGACTGGTACAATTCAAATAGAAAAATTTATCATGAAATATATCATTACTTTATTTCACTAGAATCACGTCGGCGTAAAGAACGTGATTGGAGCGCGGATGACTACTACGATTCGGACGACGACTCGTTCCTCGACCGCACCGGGCATGTGGAGAGGAAGCGCAAGATGCGTATGATCAAACTCGGCGCGGCACAGGATAACAACGATAAGCCACTCACATACGATGATCTGGTGAGTTAAAGTAGACAAAGTAGTTGAATTAGTTTGACTTAAAAAAAAACCGTTATATTTTTTTTCTTAACACTGCAGGGATCCAAAGAATGGAATATATAGGCATTCTAAGTTAAATTAAAATCCTGTTCTTGATATAAATATTTTTTTAAGTCGATAACAAAACTATAAATTGTTGTTGCTTGCTTCAAGCGATCTTTGTCTAACTATTTTTTTATGTAATATTTAAGTGTTGAACAAATTAGCAATATAACTCACCTTTACAGCTCAAACAAATAGAAGAGATAGAAGAGAAGATAATCAAGGAAGAGAAATCCCTGGCTCGTCTGCGTTCAGGTGGTGAGAGTCAGACGGGCAGCAACAACGATGATGATGCGCTTGACGCGTACATGAACGAACTCGCGTCTAAACCACAAGCTATGGCTGTTAAAGCTGATATATCAAAGACTAAGGTATATTTAAGTACATTTTAATTACTTAAATTCTGAATAATCCCTGATTTGTTTTTAATTATAAGATCATCATCAGCTCACTTTACGTCCCCACTGAGGGGCTTACATGCATTAGGTATTTTTTATATAATATTGGTTTAATATATGTGTCTGTATTTTTTCAGATGAACATACAAAAACTAAAAGCTGAGCTAGCTAAAACACAAAGACTCGCGGATATAGCTCGGCCTGCGCACGCGCCGCCAATCATCAAGAAAGATGATAAAAAGATGACTGTGAAGGTTGGAAGTAATTCAGTTGTTTATGGAAAAAGGTTTGTAAAAAACGTTTTTAACATTTATTTTATAATGTTAACATTTTTGTGACAATTAATATTTTTAACAAGGTATTAATTTTTTTTATCCCTTAGGTTAAAACTTAAAGACGGTGAAAAACGGCCTAAAGTTAAACAAGAAATGAAGAAAGAAGAAACAGAATTCGTCGAAGAAATGGACTCAGATGAGGAAAGTGAAACTAAAAACAAAACAGAAACAAAATTAAAAACAAAAGAGAACAACAACGGAATAAAAGAAACTGAATCAATAGATAATAGACCTGAAATAGAAAAAAGTGTTATTAAAAATGCTAATAGTGAAATTATTAAAGTAAAAAATGATGAGAATCCAGTTAAGCGCATGTTTGGTCCAATGAGACCTCCTGATGACTATGTAGTACCAGAAGGGTATTTTGATCAAGAAACTGACAGAGATTTGCCTGAAATCGAAGAAAAAGAATAGCTTTAAGTGAATAAAATAATTAGATGTATTCTGTTGTTTAAATGTATGTTAGTCCTACATTTCTTTTCTATTAATTGTCAATAAGGATTTTATTTAGAGCTCATAAAGACAAATATATATTTTTCATTAAAAAATTAATTAGAAAAATGAGATGAATTTAGTTAAAATCTTTACCTAAAAAAATGTAGAAAAGAATCCCGCAATGATATTATTTATTACAGCAACACTACTTGTAATTAAATAATCATTAAAAAAGGGTGTTCCTTAATAATTTATTGCTTACAAATTAAAATTATACATTTCTACACTTGATTTTCAGCTAGAATTCGTTTAATGAATATTTATCGGTCAACTTCACCGAACACGATATCGAGTGTTCCAATAATGGCGACGATATCGGCCAACATGGAGTTCTTGCCGACTTTCTCTAGAGCGGCCAAGTGAGCGAAACCGGGCGCCTTGATCTTGCATCTAAAAACATCACTATAATTTAATATACAATCTTAACATAATCCAAATTACGATTATAAACGAATACTAATTTATGAAGAAAAGAAACTTGTATAAAAAGGAAAGAATGAAAATTGCAGCATAGAATATAGACTCTATTATAGACATTCAGTAAATCAAAGTGATCCTTAACTTTGGTTTCCGAGGTCAAAATCACTGTTAATGGTTGAGAAAACAGATATTTTTATGAAAGGATTTTGGTCTCAGAAACCATCAATAAATCATGCAAACAAAAGGATAATTATGTAACACTTTAATCATTTGTAAATTATAACACCCTGTATGGAGTGAATTCAGATACGATGATTGATCAAGAACAGCCCGTGTAATAAAACTATATTCATACCTGTATGGCTTAGATCCGCCGTCAGAGACGAGGTATACTCCGAATTCTCCCTTGGGTGCTTCTATCGCGGTGTATGTGGAGCCCGGGGGCACCTGGTAGCCTTGCGAGAACAGCTTGAAGTGATGAATCAGGGCCTCCATTGATGTCTGACGTAAAGAAAACAATATTAAATACTTAATTTGTCACATCATATTTTCTATAAAAAAAAAACTAAGTAATAAATCATAAACCTCATTGGCGTAGTTGTTTAGACGCTATTATATTTGTTAATTCATAAAAAACATGTTCTGAATCTAATAACTCAACCACAATAAAACAAATACTACATTAGAAAAACATGACCCTGTCAGTTAAGTTGAAAGTAAAATTTGAGAAATACCTTCATTTCTTCACGCGAGGGTGGAGTCAATTTAGCGTCATCGGTCTTCACTTCACCAGGCGGCATCTTGTTGAGGCACTGGTCCACGATGCGTAGAGACTGACGCATCTCTTCCACACGACATAAATACCTACAAAACTTAACCATTAGTACCCACTGTCGAAACATGCACACATTGTTATCCCAACAGAAAAAAAATCATATACCGTTACACAAAATTCTAGACTTCAGCCATTTAGACTCCAGGACACAATAAAATTGACATACAATTCCCAATTTCAATAAATCATACACATCTGCAAAAAATATTTAAATGCTCGCACCTGTCGTAGCAATCGCCCTTAGTTCCAATAGGTACATCAAAGTCGACTAGATGGTAGGCGTCGTAAGGCTGCGCCTTGCGGAGGTCCCACTTGATGCCGGAGCCACGCAGCATCACACCGCTATAAATGTATTAAAACTAAGTTAACTTGATTTAACTATATGTACAGTCAAACCAGGATAAGCAAGAAAAATCTATAAGCCAGAATAAAGGGTAGTAATGTAACTTAGGTTACAGAAAAATCTCTACGAAAAATCAATATTGCGTTCCCTTGGACTCTGACTTATCCAGGTTCAACTGTTTTTTTAATTATGTGTACAAAACTGTCAGTTTAGGTATAATTCATTGTAATAATAACTGGCATAAAAATACCTAAAGCCATAGTTGAGAGCATCCTCGGCAGTGACCACACCAATGTCCTTAGTCCTCTGAACCCAGATCCTGTTGGTGGTGAGCACATCCTCCACCTCGTCCAAACGCTCCGAGAATTTGATAGCAAATTCATAGATATCATCCATAAGACCTAATGGCATATCCTGAAAAACAAAAAAAATAGTAAAGCAACCAAGTCCCTTCAGATTGACATAGCCTAGATAAATTTTAATGCATTGGCAAATGACATATTGAAGGAATTATTTACAAAGCTAGGCTTTTCATGAATAATATGGTAGAAAATAAATTAATTTTCTTGTACTGTACAACTTTTCTTAAATGTAACACTTCCACAGTTTGTACAAATATTCTCAGCAAGATTTTTTCACTTATTTTATATGCTATAAAAAGCACTCACTAGTGCTACACCTCCAGGACGTATGTACGCAGCATGCATACGTGCGCCGCTGACTCTTTCGTAAAGTTCCATCAACTTTTCTCTTTCCTCAAACAGCCAGAACAGTGGCGTAAGCGCACCAATATCCAAAGCGTGCGTTGCCACCGCCATAATATGGTTTCTAATACGTGTCAGCTCACAAAACAGTGCTGAAAATGAAATGAAGACACTTATGTCATAATTATTCATAATTAAAACTGAATCTAAACTAAACGACAAGGCCAGTAGGGACCCACTAAACTAATCCCACTCGCCCTATGAACACTCACAGGGGGTCCTGTGAGAACTGCATTTTTTTATTAATGTAAATGAACATCTTCATTAACTATTTTTACTGTTATATAATTCAATACTTACTTCGAATATACTTAGCTCTTATAGGTATATCAATGTTTAAAAGTTTTTCAACAGCTAAGCTGAAGCATTGTTCATTGCACATCATGGAGACATAGTCAAGACGGTCAAAGTAAGGCAACGCCTGAGTGTATGTCTTGTACTCAATGAGTTTCTCAGTGCCACGGTGGAGAAGACCAATATGGGGATCAGCTGCTCTTACCGTCTGTAACACATATTAAACATATTTAATAAAGCTACAATTTTGTAAACATTTTCAGCTCATGTCTTATATATTATATGTGTAGATATCTAGTACAATTATATTAAAAATATTAAACATTAAATATAATATATATTATAATTGTACAATAATTACCTCACCATCCAACTCCAAAACAAGGCGGAGTACACCGTGGGCAGCAGGATGCTGCGGCCCAAAGTTCAACACCATGTTGCGAACCTGCTTTTCAGTTGGTGCAATAATGCCTATACACATATAAAACATCTAATTTAGTTAACTTTTTTTAAGACAGCAATATTGCCCCTTTAATAGGCATCAGCACAGTGACATAATTCAATTTAATAAAATCACTAAATGACAAAGACAAGCAAAACAGGACATTCATAATCATTGAAAATTCTAGATTCTTTTTAGCTGCTTTAGTTATGTTTATGGGCGTATTAATAATTGCAGATGTTAAATATAGAACTTAGGTGTAAGGAACTTTTGGATAGTTTTTGATTTTAAAATTTTTGAACTTACTGTTGTAAGGCAAATGCTTCATAAGAGATGTAACTTCATCAGGATACATTACAGCTCCTTCAAATTGCTTAACGTACTCCGCATCAGGCATCCATCGATGCGCATTTCTTTGAGAGCTGAAATGAATGTACAAACTTACTAACGTATATTGTTTTCGACACTTATTTGTTCAACTAAAAAGTACAACTTTTTACATTAAGGCTTTAAATTAAATGCAATTAAGTACTTTTATTATCTGTAATTTGATTAAAGTATAACATAAAATTGATGAAATATTTCGAAAATACAATATAACCTCTGACGTTACATAATAATAAACCATAATAAGACGAAATTTAATCATTGAATAAATGAATTTTTCAAACTAATACTTACTTCACATTGTAGACTGCTGGTAAATTCTTTAATAAAGCTGTAGATTGGCTTAAATTTGGCGATTTTCGCAGCAAAACATTGAAAATCGATGCCATTTTCGGACTTACAACGTTACGATTAACGTTATCGTGTGAAGATCAAAAAACTAAATCGTCGGCGTTAACTTAGAATCCATAAAATGATAATCCAACTTAATTATAAGTTTTTTTCTGACTTCTTTTCAATACACCAAAACAATAATTTCATATTCATTGATTCGTAGTTTCAAGAAAAAAGGCTAACAGAAAAGACTTTTGACAGAACTATTGATGGAAAGGAACGTCAATTAAACGTCAGAGGACAACGTCAATATTACGTCTACTTCAGTTAACGCTGCGTTCATTTATAACGATTCCCAAAGTTTAGTAATATAATTACTAAGCTTAAAGTTTACTAATTATTTATAGACAGAAGAGTATTACGTTAACAATTTAAAAGATCCTTCTGGCTTCATTTATCAGTTATGATATTTAGATAACTTTCATCTCGAGCTTCAAGTGACTATCACTTCATGTGAAATAAAACAACTTAATAATTAATTAATTACTTTATTGTAAAAAATCCGGAATACATTCATTCACACTTCGACTTAATAAAATTGTAAGACGAACATTATTTTTAATTATTTATAATCCAGTTGCTGGGGTTGTAAATACTTTATTTGACTCGCTTTTGTTGTCTCTGCCGGTAGATGTCGTTGACGGGCGGGGCGACACCCAAGTCATCGTCATCCGAATCTTCGCCGATCTTTCTTCGTCTTGCCTGTAATAATATAGTTTGATAATTATGTATCCCGATATTGAATAGAAACAGAGAACCTGTCAAGGGGGCGTTCAATCGTCTGATTTATTACTTTTACTCGAAGAAATAATTCTATATTCCTATGAAATATGTTTAGGTGTTTTATGTTTCTGGTCAGGCAATAAATTAACTTGATAGAGATAGGTTAATTTTTTTAACTATACTTATTTGTGTACCTTATTGGAGACGGTGGTGATTCCCTCATCATCAACAATCCAGTGCACGGAGCGCGCCAAGTCAAATAATTTCGTGTCGCAGCCGTTCTCTTGTGTCGGCGCCGGTGCTGCATTAAAATATTATTTTTAATTACCTTCTAAACCACTACCACTATCTGATCATCCAGCTTAAGATATACATAAAAATATAGAATACCTTATTAAAGAAATATAACTAAACAACACATCATTACAATTTTACATTTTTTTGCCTTGATTTTTTTCCTCACAGGGAAAATTCTGATGATTCAGGAGCTCCTCTACTCACGATTGCCCAATGACTTACGTTTATCCGGTAGCGTGATGCGGTTGAAGAGCTGCATGAGGCGGTCAACAGCGACGAAGGGTCCGCGGAAGCTGGTGGGTGGTGGCATCAGCGTGCACAGGTGCGCACAAGCCGGTGGCATCGGGAACGTGCCGCCTAAAGCAACGTATTAATATCAATCAACACACTAATATTATCAATGCCAATGTTTGGATGGATGGTTATTAGAACGTATCACCAGAACAGCTGCTTGGATCTCGCTCAAATTTGGCATAGATGTAGCACATAGTCTGCAAGAACACATATGCTAGTAATTATTTTTTTAGTTCGGCGCCGACGGAATCGGAGGCGACAGCTATGTAGCAATATGTAAAACCAAAATCATATTCAGAATAGACCCCATCCAAACTTTATGACGTCAAGATACTGCGAACATCAGTTTTAACAGAACACTATATATAGTTTAACTCTTGTATCTCTATTTAACCCCCTTTCACATAACTGTCGCTGCTTGTTGTCTTGTTGCCAAAATGAAATATAATAATTTACCTGATATTGGATGTTCTCCGGGCAACGGATTAATTTTGGGCTTGTATGGAATCATTTGGCTGGTGTCGGGACGAGCAATATCCTTATTAGGATCATTGTCTCTGCAAATTATAGCGAACACATTTATTTATATAAGAAAACGTGGCCGTCCTAAACAAACTAGGCGGCGCTCAGTAGCTGACGAAATGAAGGCAATAGGGCTGACATGGCCCGAGACCAAACGCAGAGCCCAAGATAGAGCGACCTGGTGTCGCACTGTGAACCCCACTACGGGGACATAGGACTTTAAGTCAAGTAAGTCAAGTCATTTATTTATATACCTATTTTAATTTTCTTTCATATTTTCCAATTAAATTAATTTTGTTCCCTAATTTAATTACACTAAAATTTCGTTTTTAATTTATATAAGCTACAAAAATAGCACTCACTTCTGTCCGAGTATAACAGCCGCCAGCTCCGGAGATATGCCGGCCAACGGACCGCCCAATGCCCACGATTTGTTTGACATAGACGCTACCTAAAACAAACATTTAAAAATTATACGTAGAAACTTCGCCTAAATTCGATGAAATGGCGATATCTAGGATCATAAAATTTTGTATAGTTACCTCAGTATATCCGATAGATTTGAGCTCCGCGATGCTGCAAGGGTACAGGTCAAGGAACTTGTAGCGGTCCACCAGTTGTGCAGTTTCCTTGCCTTCAAATTCTTTGATCTAATAAGAGCAAACATATTAATCAAAGTATATTGACATAAAATAATAGCAATTAAAATGATATATTTCGGATTCTAATGATTTTGTTCTAGACTCGCTTCTCGAATATTTTTTTTTATTAAAATTTTTTTTGGAAAGTAAATAAAAAAGCAATACTATGTTAGTAATCCTACCTTTTCCAGCACAGCCTGTCTTCTCTTCTCCACTTTAACAATACTAACAAGATCGCCGATGTTGGATTCAAACTCCAAGAACCTGTTCCAGATGTCTACTGAGCTCTCTGGCTTCAGACTGCCCGAAGATAGCACTCGCTCAAACAGCACGCGAGTGTTGTTGTCCTCTGTTGATATAGAGTTACAAATATCATAGACACGATTTAATTACCATAAGTTTTTATTGTTATGAATTTCTTTGACATTTCTTTTTAATTCCTAGTGTTTGTTGCTTTGTACGTTTTTATGATCATAATATTTACGTTGTTATACTTAATTAGTGTAAAGAAAAATTACTTCTCTTTGAGTTGAGTTCATGTATGTAAATTAAAATATTTTCTAATCTGATATCAACAAATAAATTAAGCCGGCTTTGGTGTTAAATTTCAAATAATTACCGTTTAAATGTGACAAATAGTCGATATAACATAGAACATATTCTGGAATGTGCGAGAACTTTTTAAGGCCTAGCTCGAAGATTCTAAAGGCGATGTTCTTGTCTTTGGAGCAGTAGTACTCCATGAGGGCAGCCGCAACGAACACGTGGTAACGGGACCTGGGAATAAAGTAAGTATAGTCCTACAAACTTATGTGGCCCGGTGAGTGGCGCTCCATCGAAATGGCAGACTTTATCAATACTTTTGTCTACTTGGCCAGATTAAGTTAAAATTGGTAAAATGAACTGGTCACATTTATATATGCGGTTACTGGTTATCATAGAATATAGCCCCTATGTCTATGGTCTATATCATAGACTAACATGATACAAAAGAATTTCTTTAAATCTAAATAAAGGTCTATAATAACCTTGGATCTTCTCTGGCGCGTTTGAAGACAGTTCTGGCAGATTTGATGCCCTCAGCGCGTCGTGCGAACTTCATGTACTGCACGTAGGCCAGCGTGGGGTCAATGTCCTCCATATCAAGATATCTCGTGTAAACTTGATGGACCTACGAAATAATAAAGTATAGAATGTCTATTTTATAGCCGCGAACTTCTACTCTAACTCTGTCTTTTTTAAGAAAAGAGAAGGGATTACAATAAGTTGATTTCTCCTATTGAAACGTATGTTCTCTATTTTTGCATGGACTGATAATAAGTTTTTAAACAGTTGTTCCTTGTTAAGTCACCTTATTGTAATGCAGCCTACTCTCCTCGTAATCTGCGTGCGCAAAGTGTAACAGCGTGGACTGCTTGAGCGGGCCACTGGTCGCGCGCTCGTACACCGCCGCCGCCTCCTCGGAAAACAGGCGCGCCGCGTTCGAATCCTGAATAAAATACAAACAAATGTGACTTTGATGTATACATCTGTGTATTGTATACTACTCAGGTGTATACTACGGCGGAAAAGAATTTAGAATTAAGCACAGATTACAGTGTAAGATATATTTGAGTAGTATAAAATAGAGTATACTACTTGACTGTATAATACTAAAATGTATATGTTTCATACATTATTATACAGTGTAGTTACTAGTACACTGTATACAAGTTAAGACAATTTTTTTGATGAATTTAAATCTGTAGATAAATGTTTATCTCACCCCTTTTTCTTGCAGTAGTTTTGAGGAATGATCGAGGAACTGCGCGGCTTGATGCCAAACGTCAGGATGGTGTGCAAGACAGAGCAAGCACTGCTCGATCGCGAACATGACGCGGCGGGCAACCAGCGCAGTGTCCTCCGACCGGAGAGGATTGCTTCTCTCCCATGATATATACTTCTTCCAAAGTTCCACCTGATAATTAACAAATTAGAATTTTTATACTGAGGCTAACTTACAAGTAGTTAAAAGACATTTTAGTGACAACTGCAATGATAAAACGTTTATAGAGAAGATGCCTTAGGAATATAACTTGTCGTAATTTTTCGAAAAACAATAATTGAAAATTTAAAGTGTGAATGTGTTGAACAACTGTTTATATGTTTAACAGTAGAAGGATGATGAAAACCTTATAAAATAGTCTATTCTACTAATATAGACTAGACTAAGTTTTGAGATAAAGAATGATGAACTTCTAAAATCGACGAAAGCGGTTATATATCTTGAAAGATGTAACTCTTTTTTTTAGATGGATATTGGTGTACTGATGCCGTACCTGTTTCATTTCCTCTCTGTCGACAGTGGGCGGCGTGGCGGGCATGTTCCTGTTGAGTCCTCGAGTTACCGTCTCCAGTTCCTTGGCCACGCGCCGCGCGTTCATGTACTCTCGGGACCTCTCCATTGCCATACGCTCAGCTGTAGGAATTATATTGTTCACATTCTACCATAAAAATATCTAACAGGGTAAATTGAGGGAGCAACTGACTAAAAACACAACGTGAATAAAAAAGGCAAAATAATGCATATAAGACTAAAAATACTTGTTTCTTGTACATATAAAATATCAACTCTTTTGTTAGTGACCATAATGATAAGAATATTTTTTTAAAATATAATCTGTGACAATCCCATGTAATTATTAACTTACCAATAATTGTATTTATCCCTTGTTCAAATGCAATATAATCTTTCCATAATGTTTCAATTCCTATAATAGGAGTGATAACCGCTCTTTGATACACCTGAAAATTAACAACGTTATGTATTTGAACTACTAGTTGTTGCCCGTGATTTCGTCCCCGTATAATTAGAAAACAATTATTTAGTAGCCTATGTGTTATTTCATACTATGTTCAACAACAACGGAACAAACGCAAGCGCGGACAGTCAAAACAAAAAAAAATGTTTTTTCACAAATACGTCACGTGTACGAAATGCGATTTCTTTTTCGATTATACTACAATGACAGTACAAACATAAAATTTTTATTAATATGTATAGATTAAATGTTACTACATACTTTCCTCACAGCCGAAATCTTCTGATTTTCAGCATAAGACCCAACCGCGTCGACAGCTTTTAAGAAAGTCACATAGTCGTTCCAGATCGGATAAGCATGAATATCTAAGCCTATTTTCTCTAGAGCAAAGTCATAAGCTTGCGCCATTTTTTCTCTGAAAATCAAAAGCAAGTACAAATGTTCTATGTTAAATTAAAATTAATTCTACAAATAGGGAGCAATGTAGGCATATTTCTTTGATATCCAGTCCAATTTATTTCTCAACAAAAAATTTCAACGAGGGTAATCAAAGATTTCTTTGTAGTTTTACTACAATCGATAACTAAATACTACTCATTTAGATGTTAATTGTTAAAGATAATCTTGAAGTAATTTACTTGCGTAAACAACCAAACAAACATATTAAATATAACAACACTTACTTGTATGTAGGCAGCATACATTTAGTTTCTTTGACGTAGTTTAAGTAGAGACGCCAGAGTTCAATATTAAGGATCTTCATAAGACAGCGCTGGAACAGCTAAACACCCATACAAACATAATAAAATGAATATTTATTGTCTGGCTTGAAGGACCAAAACATTAGTAGGCCAAAAGATTAGTTATGACTCTATTGAATATGGCCTGGTCTTTGGCATGACCGAGCTGTAGATATCTTCTTATGGGTAAAAAATTTAATAGCCCATTGTTTTTAGACATTAACAAAGACAAAATATAAGATTTTTCTTCTATATCACAAAGACATGGACCAGAGGTTTACCTGATACATCTGATAGTTCAGTCAGCATTTTCTGTAAATGTATAAGACTATAGGACTAAAGGGTAAATAAATTACTCTGAAGGAGTATCATATTGTTTTAAAGTCGGTACATGACTCCCCAATGAGAATCTCAGTTACTCCGGTTTGAATGTAAACCTAGAGAATTACATGCAAGTTGGTTGTTTTATCATTATCTCCAAAGCTCATCATTGACCAATGACGTAAAACACTATTTTAGAAAACATTGTTTTTGTTTAGAATGAGCAAACAAAACAAATTGTATTCATGTATGTACCCAGATAATTTGAAACAGCTTATAAACCAATTTAACCTCAACATGATCACGAATATGTGCCATCAAGATCCTTTTCTTGGGTAATAGACGGTACCAATTTTCACTAAATATTACTTGATCGCCTTATAAGAGTAAACTTGTTTTTGAAGTCTTTATTTATATTGTAATAACTTCTGATACTTTGAATTGAAACTGAACACATTCTTCAATGGTTGTAAGGATTAGGTTAAAACGAAATATATAGGAAAAAAATAAATATAGAACAATATATAGTCATATTTTTACTAATAATATATTCACTAAGAGGGTTTAATACATGTCAAAAGTGACCTTCTATGGATTGGATTTCTGCAAATACAATTGTTTTTAACTCGTGGTGATTATTAATAAAAGCATATAAACATTTTATATAAATTGCAACACTTATTTTCACCATAGAAAATCACCTCCGACATGTCTGAACACAGTTACCCTATCCGAAAGAAAAGATTGCATTTTCATTATCTGGTTTCTTTATTTGAACTTAAGACTTGCATTACATAATTTGTAGACCTTAGAGTATTTTTTATCTTTATTAGTCACTAATATCACAGAGTATTTAACATTTTTTATTACTAACTTACGCTGTATCAATACTAACCTTTTCAACTTTTTCAAAATTTCTCGCCTTCATCTGTAAATTGAATTTCAAACCTGATTATTATTGTATGAATGAACATATTGATATTTATTTCAATCCACTTTATATTGGTTGTTACCACATCTGTAATAGTCATTTTTTCTGATGAAGGGTATATATGAAATAAAAAGATCAATAGAATAGAACAGTTTGTAGAGGAAGCTGAATTTATGTTTTTTTTTTATACCTTATAGCCTTCTTGAAAACTTTTATTACAAGTAACATGGGTTTTTAATTATACTTCTTATATATATAGGCATTTATATATAATGTCATTGGTCCTTCTGTTAATTGACTAAAAGTAGAAATAAAAAAGTTTTACAAGAATTCTTCTCTAACCTCTTGTTCAATGTATATTTTCCAGTACCGGCCAGTGGTTGGGAATGCAGCAATAAGTTTTTCATACATTGTCCGTACATCGTTAATAGGCCTTGTCTGGGCTTCCCTGATGAGTAAAGACCATGAATCCACGTCGTATACGTTCGCTTCCACAGCTTTCTGTGCTCGAGTTAACCTTTCATTCCCCCAATCCTGGAATACAGTTAAATAAGTTTTATGAAAAATCGTTTAAATAGAATGAAAACAAGTTGTAAATATACTTACAATCTCTGCATTTTCGTCCGTCAAAGCAGCGGCCATCGTGAGACCCTGTTGATTTTGCTTGTGTGTTAAACGAACATGTACCTCTACCTTTGACTATTGTGAGTTTATTGACTATACAATTAGTATCACACAAATGTTCACTTTTTCATATTTGTAGTTTATAAGTGAATTGTTTTATAATTACTTATTCTTAAAATCTTTAAATAATCAACCAATCCAACCTGAAAAAACATGGACAAAAACAAGCCATTAGAGAGTATGTAAAAGTCACCATAGACAAGTCAAAGGGAATTATGATGCACTGTGGTTGCTAAATAAAAGGCGGCATTTTTACTCTGTGTAAAGCCTTGCAAATGTCAAAGCCCGCGTCACTGACTGACGCCGCTGTCAATTCAAGTGTTTACAATTACAAGTTCCATATTTTGTTATTCTTTGTAAAATGTTATTTTATTCATTCTTTAAATCTTTAATAGGAAAAGATGTTGTGGTGGAATTAAAAAATGACCTTAGCATATGCGGGACATTGCATTCTGTCGATCAATATTTGAATATAAAATTATCCGACATAAGCGTCATAGATCCGGATAAATACCCTCACATGTTGTCGGTGAAGAATTGTTTCATTCGTGGATCTGTTGTGCGCTATGTCCAATTACCAGCAGACGAAGTTGACACACAGCTACTGCAAGATGCGGCAAGAAAAGAAGCAACAGTGTCTACAAGATAGTCGCTGTAACATAACCTAACATCTAAGTTGAATATGGACTAAAACATTTGTGAATATATCTAAGTGTAAGAACATTGAATAAATGTAAACCTAATTGTCAAATTAAGTTTTATTATATGAGACCAATAATACAAATATTGTCAGCATTTATTAACGGCAGACAAAACACTACATCCAGGAACAAAATCAATAGTCGTTAATCATTGGAGACCATTTATTAAAACAAAAACGAATACAGTGTGAAAATTATTACATAAATGACTGTACAATTAGTGCCCCATAAATTTATTCAATATTTTTTATACTAAACATATCGACTCTCTCATTCTCCTTCAAAAAAATTATAGCATGTTTTTATAAAAATATTGTTTCTAAAAATGTGACATTTCTAGAAGTTACAAAAAAGTGTACAAATGTATTTTTGTTGCATTTATGATTTACTAGAGACTTACATTTACAGATATCTCTGTGGTGGATAATTTTACTTTCACAATACTTTTGAGTCTATGACCATAGGAGATGAAGGAGTAATATTTTTGCCTGGAAAGGAAAATAACATTTCAATGTACATATTTTTTTTCAATTTTGACGAAATTCCATACTTACTTTTATATCTCATATTAGGTTTTGGACTTGGAACAAGCATCCTTAACAGTTTTGCACGAAAGACTGCTAATCTAGAAAAGAAAGAATTTACCTAATAATTTGTACATATTAAAAAAAAATAGATAAATCTATGTGGCCATTCACCTCTTGTTACTTTGCCTGTTTTATCGTAACTCATAGAAGCCAACCATTTTTTTTGTATAACTAAAATATTTTTAAGCTTACTGGCTCTTCGTAGGACCGGCTAATCGCATGACGTGCGCGCGCATGCAGCGATAACTGTGAGATGTTTTCAAATGTTTGCAGCTAGGGAAAAAAATTGCGACATTATTTTAAAGACATCTTAGATGGAGGTAAGGAATTCATCAATGAAATTGACTTGCTAAAACATCTATCAATTAAACATAGTTAATGTATCTGCGTAAAAAAAGCTTCGACTCTTCTTCATCTACAGGTTTGTATATTATAAGAAAAAAGACCATCTAATGGAATTACCTCATTTGTTCATCCATCTTTTGCATCAAACGTAACCTAAAACAAATTAAATCTTAGTACCCAAGAAATGTGACTACCAAACGCGTAATTTTTTTAATCCCTTATAGTGCCGGATTTTTTTTAAATGAGGAACTTCCTTCCCTACATATCAAGCTTCGGTACTATATACATTTTTTGACTCAATTGAGAATAATTTTTTACCATCCCAATTTATGCGGAGACTGTCTTCGATTTATAGTTGAGTAAAGTCTTTTAAGCCCACGACCTGGTAAATGAACCGAATTAATCATGTGATTAATGTAATTTCAATACAACAATGGTCATTAGTATTTTTTTTCTGTAAATACGATTAGGTACATGTCTCCTTGTTTGTCCATTGTAATGATTTGATTAAGTAGTTTTCATAAACTTACGCTGATGTTCTGTTATTTCCTCGTGGAATAACGAATTTATCTTTTTCAACAAACTCCTGAAACATTAAGTTAGCAAATATTTTTACAATTCTAATAATCGTTCATAAATACCATCTTTCCTTAACACGTTGCGGCTTCAAAACTGTAGCCGAATTGATATGGTCATATTGCCCATAATTTATCGAGGAAGCTCGGATATGTTTATAGATATTTACTCTGCTAAAATGAATTAAATAAAACTCACTGTGGGTCATGGTCCACGCTCATCAAAGTACTCACAATCGAACTTTGTTTCAAAATATTTCTCTTGACTGCAATGATATTGAAAACGGGAGTTCAAAATACAAGATTAAAAAATATAAGTATTATTCTAAGTCGTTAATTTTATTATAAGACTCTGTTATCTCTACACGTCCGAGGATTTTATAGTAAACTGCTAGTCTAAAGTTCATATACTTACAACTAGTGTAGGGCATTTTCATAATACTTCGTATTCTTCTGTCCATCCAATGCCTAAAAAAGTATACCAAGTTTAACAGTCTTATAAAGGTTGATGGAAAGAAAAAGAGGTTCACAATGGTAAAGTGATATTTTGTCTTTAACCTTATTTATGTATTATAAGTTTTTTTATCGTTACCATAGATATCCCCTCCCATAAACATCCCTGCAGAAAATTATTATTTAAGGGTTTTCTGATAGTAAAAGAAAATTGGCAATAGTTTGAATGATAGTAGCGCTAACTATGACATATTTTATTTACTTTTTATGTGACTTCATTGAAACGGAGTAATTAAGTTCGCTGCTCAAAGAATCGTCTCCGTCACCCGAATGATCTGCATACGTAATATAAGATTAGTTCTAAATTGTCTGCCAGAAATGTACGTCAACAAATAGTATAATCATCTTACTTGTGTTCAGTCCCGACATTATTGACGACGCAGTCCTTTTTAGAGGTACCCTGTTAACATGAAAATATGAATAATGAAGAAACCGACGAAAAGAGTACAAATCTTATGAAATCCACTAAACGGTAAAGGTTTTAGCTCTCTCTCTCTCTCTCTAACTCTTTTTACCATGCCTTTTATGGTGTAAGCTTGTAATTCGCAGACTTTTGGCGGCCCTTTCTGTCTCTTGTCTTCAAACTTATTAATGGATGATCGATAGTCGTGTAAAATAAAGTGTTATCAATACATACATAGATTTAATTATTACAGCTTCGTCTTCGGATTTTTTTCTTAAAGCAGTATTAGCGATTTCTGTTGACGTACCAAGCTCTGAAAACGTTCAAATACTTTTTTAACTATTTACACAATACTTGAAGTTACTTTCAATATCTAAAAAAAAGTATGATTACTTCTGTACCAAATCAATTTCTATGGTAACGATTTTTAAAAACTTACTTTTTAATTTACTTACCTGCTACTCTCATATCGCTGAGACGGTTACTGCTCTAAAAAGGACAAAGATGAAATATTTAGCAGTTTGTTATAAAGGCAATATAAAAAAAAAGAAAATACGTAAAATATTTTATATAATTGAAAACACTAACCGGCTTCCTATATTTCGTATATTTAGGCGGCAGGCGAGATAGTGCGAGTTTTTGACTGCAAAAGAAATCGTCAGAATCAGACTTAAATGTGACAAGGGTTTAAGTAAAATTAAAAATAATGAAAAGACACTCACTCGTTAGTCATTGTAGACCTAGGGGAGTCTTTGTATAATTGTTTGATTTCTATCGACTTTTTGATGTCTGAAAATAAAAAAATATAACAACGTCCACCTCTGTTAAAGAAACCGTAAATGGTTTTAAAAAAAGTAAAATTTTTATTTGAAGAACAGCAAACAATACTTTTAAGTAATAATAAAAATAACCTGGTTCGCATTTCTTTATAATTGATGTCTGAAAAAAAAAGGAATAATTAGAGATAAAATTTAATATTTGTGCAACAAATTCTTGCTGCACCTTACATTATTATAGTGCATCAAAACATACACGTCACTTACATGTTCGGAACCCATTTTCATTCGTAAATATTTAATTTCGGAACCAGGATGTAGTGGTATTGGTTTGCTAAAACAAATAAAAGAATCTTTACTACCTAATAACAGCACTAGTCGATTATTTATTTGGCACAGACAAATATACGATGTTTTATTAAGGTCTAGCGGGGGCAGGGCAATGCGCAGCGAGCCAATGGCCGCCAAGAAATTAAAAATACAACAATATCTTAAAACTTTCAAGGTCCTCACTTTTCGTTAGATCTACTAAGTTTCACATATCGCCTTAATTTCAAAAACGATTTCAAGAGAGGCTAAGTATAGAGCAGTTGGTATCTTACCTTTTATTCTTGTCTTCAACACGATCTACTGAGGTATTTGAAGTAAGTATTGAAGTTTTTCCAAACTCTCTAAAGGTATCGCGAGTCGTATTCGACATCAACTCATGGAGTTTCTTCGGGTTTTTGTCTTTATTCTTATTCCAGTTGCTTTTGTTTGAATGAAATAATCGTGCTGAACATTTTGAACAAAATATGACGCCTTTAAATATTTCCGCGTCAGTTAAATCATTTTCATTGCATACAACTGCAAAAGAATAAATAAAGACAATGTATAGAACTCGGCATTTTATTTGGAACGTTTAGAACAAGACTGGGGACCAATGTACCAACAATTCAAACAAAGTACTATAGTTTGGTATCACCATTAACCCGTATTAATCCGTTGTCGGGCAAAAGCCTTTGCAGTTGTTCACCAATATTTGCGCCAATACGTTTATACTGGTAGTTGTTTATTAAACAGTTGTCGTTTTGTTTTATCATAAGTAGCCAAGAAGACTTAAACGTGTCTTACTGCGTTACAAAAGTGTTCGTTGTACTTACAGCACCTCTTGCACTGTTTGTGGTAGCTGTAACCTTCACAGACGACCTTTTCACCGGCGCCGATTGGTTCCGAACAGTGCTCGCACACCTCGCATCTAATCAACAAGATTACGACAAAACTCTGAAAGGACTTGAAGTTACTTATGTAATAGTTTAACGAGTAAATAAAATATTAAGTTTTATGTATGTAGTAGTATGTATCCTGCTGTAGTTTTGTCTATCACTCTATGTATGATATAAACATATAACTATATGCTCACAAATTACTAGATAAATATACTCACGCCATTTTATATTATTATTATTTTTTTATCATTTTAAAAGATTTATTTAATTAAAATTACTCTGGACTCTACAGAGAATTTGACATGTCACAATTGTTTATTCTTTTCTAATGTCATTGTCGAATATTTACCTGCCAAAGAACATTTATTAAAACCTTTTTACTTTTAACGTATTATATTTTTGTAGCACAAGGCGGCAAAGGAGCCAACAGTAGCAGGTTCGGTTAAGTGACTACTGGCCAATAGGCATTTGCAATAGTCGTAGAGAATACCACGAAATATATACTACCGGTGAAATACCATGACCACACAGAAGATAGACATGAAGTAAAAGTAATTCTGTGTTCCGTCAAACGAGTGTGTCATTAGTTTAAAGGTTTTGTTATGTTCAGTGAACACTTTGCTATGTTGACGAATTCCGTTGGCCGTTTGCTAGTTTGTCACCTTATATTATAAAAATAAGCTTCCTGCCTTTCCCTTTCCAGTCAAAGATTAATAGTTTTTATCATTGGACGTCAAAGACACTGTAAGATGAAACGGTTTAAAAGTAAAAATGTGGATTAGATAAAAAATAAAACAACAATAATATGTTCTTTCCATATGTATTAAAATACAGTGTACAAATATAAAATATTGCTTTTGTTATACATATAAGTATATTCAAATACGATAGACATATTATATAAATATTTCTTTCTTTAAGTAGAAAATATAGGGGAATAAAAGTTATTACCACCATTTTATAGCGTGTTTTATTAAAAACATATACAAAATAATCAAACTATAAGTATTACTGAGCAAAGAATGTATTAAAAAATATAAAACCACAATCCAGCACCAACGTTTTCAAAGATTATTTACAAAACTATTCCCATTAAAATGGGCAACGAGACCATTTACGTAGTTATTACCATAGACATTTTGCTCCAACGGAAAGATATAAGAAAATATCTTTAAGTGATACCGTGGGTTTCTGACACCAAACTAAAATATCATCTTTGACACAACAAAAGAGATAACAATATGTTTTAAACGATAATGATTTCAGAAAACCAAGGTGATTGTTTCAGTTAATGATTTATTTATATAATTTTATTTAACATTTAAAACATAGTGACCAGCTCCTTCATTCTCTAATAGGTGTACAAAAACAATGATTTCTATTTTGTTTTTTAAAGAATATAGGTGCTGAAGCTAAAGCGATACTGATTAATTGATTAAAACACAGAAATCTTTAAATAGTATGAACTAACTCTTCGACAGTAAGTACGTAGGAATTTAATAAAAAAAAAAATAATACATTGCAATGAACTGAGATCAAAAATAACAATAATAGAGAGAAAGGAATACCCAATTTGAGATCAATAAATTATATTTAGATTTTAGTTAATTTTGCATGTGTAAATATAAAAAAAAAAGTAATTTGCCTAAAGTCAGGCATTTTATTAGTTATTGTGCGTGTATTATTTTTCTACTATACTAGATAATTTCAAAAATACTGGCCCCGAAATTATTTGTTTAAACTATATAAAACTTAAATCTAATTATACTAATTATAATAAACTTGCAAAATGTTTACGTGATTTTTAGGGTTCCGTACCTCATAGGAAAAAAAACGGAACCCTTATAGGTTCACTTTGTTATTTATATAGTAGCAATTTTTTTTTACTATTAAAGTACCATTTACTCATTGCTTTCAATAATAAAACCAAAATGACTGTAAATTATACTCCATTTCGTATATTTATTATAACCAAACCCAAACCTTGTTCCGTGTACGAGATCTATTAAAAATAGTTAAAGAACGACTTCAACAAGTTAAATGTCTACATACATCTCAGTATAAACTGACATTTAAAAAATTTCCTACACACGTAATTTAATACGGTCCAATTTAATACTCTTTTATAGTTCCAATATCTTGGCGGCAAAGTCATTGGCGCACTCCGCGGCACCCTCCCTGCATCCCGCTACGTCCCGCTACACCTAAAATTGTGTTCTGCGCAGTGACTCACGCAAGTTTAGAGCCACCAAGATATTTGAAAACTACTATACAAATACTTATTAAATTTTATGCAAACCACGTATTCAATTGTATTGTTAACCGTTTCAAACTGTTCCTTAATATTAAATACATCATAAATTGGTACATTTATAAACATTTGAAACAAAACAGTATATAAAAAGGTCTACATTTTTTTTTTAATTTTAAAATTAAGTAAATATAATATAATAGGATTTTTTTAATAACACTAATATTGCCACAATTGCCCTGTACGTTTTATTTTGTGGAACTTAATATTTTGAGCACTGGAGTGTAAAACTAAGCCTAATTTATGGATAAAGTTACGCTTAACCTACATTATTATTAAACAATTTGTATTTTATTTAAAAGTATAACATATAAAACATTGTCTTGAGATTCTTCCAAAGAAAAAAATAAAAGAAAAAAAAATATTTTTAAAATAAAATAGTAATTTACATTAACCAATCAGTACAATTATATCTTTTTTAAATAAAAAAAAAGAGATACGAGAGAAAAATACAATTAGATATAATAAAATTGTTATATATTATATAATAATAAGAATACGATATATAATATATGTAACATGGACAAATATACTTGATTTATTCTTAAATATATTTATAATAATAATTAATATCTATAAACTCTTAAATGTATAAAACTGTAGGAAATATAAAACTAACATCAAAAGATGTATCCGTAAATATCACACTAAGTATTTACTTCAAATTAAAAATAATAAATGTATAAACTTTACTGGCCCAAGTTTACAATAATGCCACGAAATAATTCACACCAATACAGTATTAAAAATTACTGCTGCTGTGATAATCCATATCAACATTTACTTATGTCAAATAAAAAAACTTATTACTAATTAAATATTTTCGTTTTTAAATCGTATTTTCGTCTTTTTTTATATATTCGAATAAATTTGATCCGTTCCCTACGTTCTTTATACCTAATTTACATTTATCCAGTGCTGGATTACAACTTGAAATGCCCACAGCGGAATTATATTTTTTTTCCCGTTGTAATCCAGCGCTTCATTAGCTCACAGGACTTGAAAAATGTAAACTGGACATGAGATTAAAATAACGTCATATTTTTTTTTCGTGTGTCAAGACTTTAGTCAAATAAAATCTTTGTCCCTTTTTATAGTACTATTATACCCTAAATGTAATAAGGGTTTTTTGTCACTATATTTGACTATCGATTTTTAATACTTGTACGAATTTTTTATAATAAATCTGAGAAAAATCGAATATCGTCTTTTGTATAATATAATACTTTCTATATTGGTCCCTTTTTAGTGTTAATATGTAGTTTTGACCGACTTTTTCACCAATTTTTCCAAAAAATACAACCTATGCAACGATTATATTTTTAAAATTTTTTACACACATTTTTTTACATAGTTATTGTTTATGATATCTGTGTTTGAGTTTATTCGGGATCATAATCAATGTCGTCTCATATGCAATCCGAGATGGTCTGACCTGGCGAAGGAGCGCCTGCAGAGCGGGCAGGTGAAGGGCCGGTGGCCGGTGTGCTTGCGCGTGTGCCGCGTCAGCTCGTCGGAGCGTGCGAAACGCCACTCACAGCCCGCCCAACCACAAGAGTACGGTTTCTCACCTGGAATGTACAACACAAACATAATATAATATAGGGACCTATGCGAAGAATGAATCACTTTAATCTTCCCTAAGAGTAAAATCTACACTAAGGATTTGGTTAACTATTAAAGTACTTAATGTGTTGTAAAATAATAAATTTTAAAACTATGAGGAGAGTCAGTGGGTCTGGAGTTAAGCAGTTGACTTGTAATCTGCAAGCCCTGGGTTCGAATCTGCACTGTCTACAAATTTGTATTTAAGTTTTCGATTTACATATGTACATATATGACGTTCTACCAGTAAAGGAAAAAAATTGTAATGCGATCTGCTAAGGAATTTAAATATATGTGTGAAGTCAACCAACCAACACTGGGCCAGAATGATTGACGTAGTCACTCCCAACTTAGGGTAGCCTCCGAGCCGTAAATGTACAGTCAGTGAGCTGATGATATGACTCGGTTGTTCTCACCTGTATGTGTTCTTTTATGCGCTTTTAAGTGCGAACTTTTCGTGTAAACTTTATGACATCCAGCTACATCGCACTTGTGAAGTCTTTTCCTGCCATGGCCTTCCTCGTTATTGTTATTAGTAAATTCATTATCGATACAGGGTTTTTTTGCTACATCGTTCGGTTTCGTATAAGGTTTCCTTTGCGTTAGCTGGTTCAATGAACCGGTCAATGCGTTCTGCAGCGCTGTGTTGAGCAAAAAATTCTTAATTTCTACATCAGACGTTATATTAGGTTGATTCGCGCGCGTCATCGGGAACGTTAACATTGGCGGGTAAAAAGTCGGCTTGTTCGTTGACAGTTCGAGTGTCGTTTGTAAATGCGTTCGCGGGGTAAGTTGCGGTGACAATTGTGGAATCGGAGGTTTTAATCTGAAAATTAAAATCATATAATTGGTTTAACAATATTTAAACTTTTTAATTTATAATGACCACGCATACCAAATTCAGTTAGACTTACTTGTTTAAATGGTGTCTATACTTTCTAGCGCTTCTGAGGTCTGGTCCTACTTTGATTTTGGGTACTTGATGACTCGTCCTGAAATGATAATTATAATTTTTCTAACGATAACTCGCTTAACGTTACACAGATTTCAATCAAAGCAAAATTGTTTGCGCATAGTATAAATTTAATAAATTAAAAAAATTGCTAGCTAACTTTTATATTACTATAACTTTATATTGAAATATATATTTTATAATATATCGTTAACACTTACGGAAACGGCAATTGTGTGGACGTTGATTCATTTTGTATCATTGTCTTTGACGAAGTAGGACGGATGCTTTCTGAAAAATGCAAAATTTTATATAAAATGTAAATTCTCACGGAAAAATAGATGAGCGTTGCAATGTAGTACACAATTATTTCACCGTATAAGCAATTATCATCAGTGATGATTCATCATTAATAACCAATTTACAGCGCGCATTAACTTCGCTAGAGGCGTCCGTTACTTAGAAACTTTGTATCGACGTTACTAATCAAACGAAATATTGCTTGAAGACCACGCCAATATTATAGTCCTAGTTTAAAGTTTAACGTATAATTTGTAATATAATTAGTTGTAACTATGTGTATGTATGTCACATAGTAAGAGAAAAACGTTAGGTTTTCATATATATATTAATCTGCACTAGCTGTCGCCCGCGACTCCGGCAGCGCAAAATTACAAAAAATCTTAAATAGTAGCATATGTGTTCATCCAGGCTATGTTCTACGTCTATGCCAAATTTCAATAAGATCCATGCAGCCGTTCTGGAGCATCTATCCATACAAACATTTTTATTATATAATAATATTATTGCTAATTATGATGATAAGCAGTAGCCAAATATAAAATACAATTTTGAGTTTTCACTAACCATCACCTGTATAGAAACATTTTTATCTATTATTTTCAAAAAGAATGAGAGGGACGAAACAAGAAATTCCACATATTTTTCGGCAATGCAAATTTACGTTAATAATTTACAAGACCTTTCAAACCGGAACAAATTAATTCAAAATCCAACGTACAACAGATATGCGACATGGCAAACATTTGTTATGCGAGCGAGCGAGTTCTAGTTTGAATCGTGTCACTCAAGCTCATTGGACACAAGTCGACAACAATCGAAAATTTACATATAGGGCAATTAAAATACCTCGTGCTAGGCGCGGAGAAGGCGAATTATTACAGGGTAACGAAGGGCAGGCGACTGGTCGCAACGTCCTTTCTAATCATTGTAAACTCTACAATTCCGCTTATAGTATTTAAAAGTAATATTGTTTAGAATTATAACAATCGCAATGTTATTTATTAATCAGTCATCGAGATAAGCGACACACGTGGTTGTGCGCGGACATCTATCGACGTTACAATATCAAGTCGCTTTACAATCATACATTTGCGAAATCGCACAGCTAAAATGTTTTATACAACACGTCCTGACTCCTGTCACACCACACAATGCAATCTATTATCACACTCTACTCAAAATTACGCATTACATTCGGTTGTTTCCAGTATGCGGTTGCGACAAGGTATCCCGTCGCTGGCCAGCCGAAGCGACGCCATATTCGGCTCTTACGGCCTCTAATAAATTTCGTATCGAGCTTTATTGAAAGGATTACTTTAGTACATCGACTTTAACTTATTTATGACCATCTAAAATAGCCTAACATCGTTGAGGAAGGATTTATTGATGAAAATTTCACTTTGTTACATAAAGTTTTTTTTTAAGTGATAGCAATGGAAGAAAACATTTCAACTAACAGTATAGTAATATAGATTTTTATATACACACATACATAAATTTCACTATAAAGCACTATTCGAGTTATAGCTAATTATTCAATTTCTTTTACGCTCTTCCCAATATGTCTATGAATGTAGAAGGTATCATGTTGCACGAGCGGAAATATCGCAAACAAAATAATGTTTTATTGCATTGTTCATTTGAAATTTCAAATCATAAAATTTTACAGTAACATTTGTAGGACACGGAATTACAAATGTACTGTTAACACTTTCAATGCCGCCGATTTGCCCCGCGAATTCACTTTAATAGGTAAAAATTATAGTCACATCGAACGTGTTAATATTACGCGTAGATGCGATATGTTAGTAGCAAAATAATCATGTGTACAGTCAGCTGCAATAATATGTACAGTTGGGTTTTCAAAAATTGTAAACAACTAAACCTGCAAAAATATTTATGGAAGTTGTCTATACACATTTATGCAGCTGACTGTACAATTGATCATAAAATATTTTATTTTTAATTTTTTGACCTTTTTTGTCTTGTAAAAACAAAAACGCGCTGCTAACACTAGATACCGCTATCAACTAGTGTTGGGTTTATCTATCGTTCCTATATCGCCAGAATCTATTGCTACGCGTATTGCTTTCTAAACGCATTCGATTTATGATACGACAATGTAATGGCCTGCCTCATATACATAGTCATTTTACTTTATGCCATCCTAAATCATTGTGCAGATCCATTTAGTGATAACGTTTATTTTACAAATCAAAAATATTACAGAATAGTACAATGTCCTGATCTTAAAAGCGACTAAAATAAAGCCTACAATAAACCATATCTTTACTTATTGTTAGAATACCAGGAACTCTCTTACCGTGGGTTTCGGAGACCAAAATCTCTGTATAAAATGACATCCCTGTCTGACATCTTTGACAAAACAGAGATAACAGTATGTTTTAAACTCACCTTAAAAGCTCTAGGCTTTAAAACCAGACAAGGAGTTATTGCAATAGGATTAATGAAAAGCTACTCAATATCGTTAAGATATTCTTCAGAGTATAACAATTAGAAGGTTAATAGATCATCTTGTTTAATTGAAGATGCTCTATTTTGTTTAATACGATATTTTCTATTTTACTAAAAATGAATGGTAAACGGTTAACCGTTAAAATTAATTTTAAACACAGCGCGTACTTCGTGTAATACTGGGTTATACTGAAGTCTCTTAAGATTGTAGTGTAGATAAGCAAATACTAACAGCTTGTAATGGATTTCTGAATCGGGCATATATTTGAAATAAGGAACTACAGTTACACACGAATTCGTGACTTTCGACACAGTCAATTCAATAAAATACAAATTGCTAGTTATAGAACCGCTACTTGGCAATAGATGGCGTTACCTGTACAGTTACAATTGAATTTCACAGGGTTGCCAGAATGGGAATAACCAATTCATTTTGAATTCATAGAGTTTTTATAATGTTTTCACCAATTATTAGATTCATAATCCTCTGTATTATGCTAGAAAATCTAAGTTGTCTTTAAATATCTTGATAAAAAATATCACATGATAAATTTCATAAAGTTGTAGGCCCAAATTCTGACCCTTATGAAGAAATATAGACTTTCCCTACAACTAAGCAATACATTCATAAGACAATCGTTTTTATATTGCATGTTTAAATTATGGTAATAAAAATATAAATTAATAAAGAAACAACCATACAACACAAATTTATTTTAATATCTAGTCAGTAGTAACATTCAAAACCATTATTAAATTTGCATATTGTAGGTCAGTTAGTGTGAACTTGTCTGTAACGAGGTGTAAACCCTAGCATATTATCGCAGCCATTCGGGCGTACGGGCGGACTTGTGAAATTGCACTCATTGTGTACCATTTAAGAACATCGCTATGTGACAAAGCATATTAAATTTGGTTGTACGCACAGTATGACAGACGCCCTTGTTAGCGCTGAATAGTACCTTATTTATGGCTTAATCTTGAGCTAAGCTCGCTACTGAAATGTGCCTTAAAGAATGACCGTTAGCGGAATCAATAAACCACCACTTATTATAAATGAATTGTACAATAAAGTAAATTAACATTACAGAATAAGCTGTAGAAATTGCCTACTTTATTTTTAAAAGAGAATGGGACATGAATCTAAGCAGTGGCAACCCACGATTGCAAAACTTAAAAAAACATGGGTGTTCTTTTACTATCTAATCATCAGTGGCGAAGACATAGACATGCTGCAGAAGCAAGTAATGTATACATATTAAAAACCATCGTACTATATATTATTAAGTGGTGACAGTTAATATACTTTCCCCCTTCCTATTAAAGAATTTAAGGCATCGAAAATTTTAAACATAAAACCGCTAATTGCTTATGACTTGATATCATTGACATCTCCAATACTGTGTAGCAAGCGGTCCGCTAACGCCTAACTTATAGGCATTGAACTGAAAATAATTAGCAAACGCGTTAACATTTCGGTTTCTCTGTCTATGTAATTGTGTTAGCGATTTGCGTACAAAATTTATGTTTTGTTTGGATGCGTGAGAACTTTATACCAATTGTTGATTTATAGACCAAACCAATTATATTTGTTATCGAGCTAAGCAAAATAAATTATACAGTAATGAAATATTTTAAGATCTCACAATTCGCGGATTCGCAGAAAATGTTACGCAATCGAAGAATCTGCGTATGTGAGAAAGCAATTTGTATTAAATTATGGATTTAAGACAAAAGTACTCCAAATTGTTACTTACTAGTTAATTTACGCAAATATTGAAACTGCGGGTAACAACATCGCGAACAAAGAGACTAAACTATATTTGTGATTTTTGACTAACTAAATTTTGTTGACTTTAGTTCAAAAATCTCTTTAGCATTGTGACAAAATCGTATAAATAATAATAACAAAGCGATTATTAATGAATTTGAGAAAAGGGGAGGGATAAAAATATAATTTTATACAATTATTCCCACAGTCAGAAACGGTATTAAAGCTTAAACAAAAAAACTAACATTATACTGTAATAATATTTGATTTAAAATCTTTATTATTATTCATTACAGTCACGCTTTAATTGACTACATCCTTTAATCAATATTTAATAACTGAATTTACTTAAAATACAATACAAATGCATATTTTTTGTATTTCCGATGGGAGGGTTGAAGGCAGTTCATTCGGAACATCAAGTAGGTGTATAATAATTACTTAATAATCTTTGTTAATGTATAGTTTTTGCTTAATTCTATTGATATTTCAATCACGTTTAATCAAGCGTAATAATTGAACAGTTAAATCTATGTAGGTTAAACGTTTATAATATTTGGCACATTTTTGAGGCTCTATTACGAAAACTTTAGATGTTTATATTTGATGTTACAGTCGAATGCAGAGAATAAGCTCTTTCAATTCTCGCTGTGACTTTTCATTGTGGCAACACCTAAGTTATAACAATGCTGCAATTCTAACTTTCTTGCAGACAGACAAATTACAATACAGACATATGTTTATAATATGAAACCAATGGATACCTTTTCTTTTTTTTTTCGTTGATAGTTGTAATGTGCATCAGAACGAGTCTATGACTACACATTATTCCACCCAATGTCGAAATCAATGATCGATTTTCTTTAGATCAGCTAAATTTAAACAAAATATCTGAATAAACAAAAATGATTCGAGATCGAATACTCTTTTCGGTCATTAATCATTTTTTTTTACGAAATGGCCAGTTAGTTTTTAATAATTCGGTGTTTTTACATCAAAAGAACGTCGATCATTTTTTGTATGCTACGCACCTATACCGTACACGGCAGCTTTCGTGAGTAATTAAATAAACATATATGTATTTGTGCGTGCGCTCGTTCAGCTTGAACGCAACATTTGCTATGTTACCTTGCATATCAAAATAGATATAAGTCTATCATAATAAAGAGATCAAATATATCTTCCATTTTGGGACACTGCGAAGGAGAATTAAAATGACTGTGAAGATGTAATAATAAATCTGTATATATAAAAATAAATTGCTGTTCGTTAGGATCGCTAATCTTAATAACGGCTGAACGGATTTTTCTTTTATTGGTCTTGAAATGTTCGTGAAGGGTTAGGGACGGTTAAAAAGGAGAGAACATTTCGAATAATTGCCCGCAAAACCCTTTAGGAACCTTTTTTTAATCCCGCGCGGATGGTGTCGCGAGCGACAGCTAATTGGGAATAAATATCAGAACTATAATAGGAAAAACAAATGACAACATATTCTCCCTTCTCAAAATATATCAGCAATAATATCTTTAAATAAAACTTCGTATTATGCACGTATTTTTATTGAACCACTTAAGTGAATACGTTCATGGTCCGATCTTCCTTTATGCAGTATTGACCTTAAGCGACGTCGTGCGTACCAAAATGTATTAGTTGCTACCGGCGTTACTTGTCCAAGTCATAAAAGGTAGCGGGTATGGATTGTTGTATCCTACTGGCAGAAAAGTAAGATGGATGGATGATTGTTGGAAAGTATCTCGGGTAGTGCTGTATGGATCTCGTTGAAATTTAGCATAGATGTAGAACACAGTCCTGAAGAACGCACAGACTACTAAGAATTAAGTTTTTTTTCGGAATTAATAATGTTTATAAGGCTGCAAATAATCTTTCTCTCAAAAATGTTGCTTCCCTTACCCTTGCACCCTATAGGTCATGGATAATAAAGAAAAAATATGTATCATTCGTTACGTATGCCAACCTTTAGTGGCTAAAGTACAGTTAGTCGGGATACTTTTTTTTCATTGTGTAATTAATATTTGTTTTAAATTTACTGTAAGATATATTTTCTTTGGTTATTTTAATTCTAATTAAAATAATTGCAGTCGTCATTCGCTTGGACCAAATTCGGAAGAACTTTAATGTACATTTAAACACTATTATGGGGTGAACATAATCGTAACAATAATCATTTTCAATTTGCATATTGACACTTAAGTATAAAAACATGTATTAAAAAAATTAAATAAAAATTATCATTTTTGTAAACAGGAACATACCTTCAATGATTTTTATGTTAAGTTAATCGTCTCAAAACAATAACAAGTAAATATATTAAAAAATATAATATATTATCTTGCGTACATGCGTATAAGAAAAAGTTTTATCTTGGCTTGTTTTATTATCAGCACATGTAACAATTATAAAAATTATAATATGTAAATCTTATTTAGTCCAATTTCTTTTTATTTCTCAAATAGATTATATAAGGTGGTATTTGTGAATTTACGTAATTTTAATCGTAGAATTATTTACTTAATTAATATTACACATCGATATGTCCATTAAATAGCAATTAACGTAAGTACCATCGGCCCAGTAATCGTGATAAACAGGACAAGCGAGCGTAACAAGCCCTAGGAATACTACATTAAAGGTACTTACACACTCACCCAATATTTGAGCAAGCTTACGCTATAACACCTTAAACGTTCTCTAAGATAATGAGGGCAAATTTAAAATTGTGAAAATTAAAATACATTGATATCTTATTTCGTGTCAAATATTAATGTCATAAGTTCTTAGAATAAAAGTAATACTATATTTCTATAATATGACTAAGACACTCCGGGAAAAAATACGAATGGAAAGACACCTCACAGATAAGAAATCAATCAGAATAGGAATATCAAAAGAGGTTTTAGTCCTTATTTAGTTTTTTGTACAATTATATTTCGACCAGCAGTTTTCACTTCTGACAGTTTCTCTTATTTTTTCCTCCATTTAACTTCGTACAGCATGCTGACGCACGGTTTATAACAGAATTTACAACTCTTAATCGCATTCATTCAAGGCATCGATGTTACTGAGACAATAAATGTAAATTTAGCTAGTAGCCTTATCTTAGTCCCGAGTGAACATAAAATAGAGTTGTATTAAACGTTAAAGCAAAATCGGAGCGGTTTATACAAGCTTTTGTTGGTTGTAATTCGAAAGGCGAATGCGACACTAAATCTAGTACGTGTTGTGTACAGGGACCTTAACAAGGGTTTTACGCTACGTCGCAGGCGATTGTCGCAACTTGTATATTTATGAAAAGTCCGAGTCGTGAGTTTCATTAACAATTTATGGCGTCTATTATATCACTGTGTATAATGCAAAATCGTTTATTTATTGTAGAGAAGACATTAAATGTACTTTGAGAAGACATTTATGTTTTAAGTGACCTAATTGAACGCTGTTACCGCGAATTAACATTACAGCGTTGACGACAAATAATGATAACTAATAATATTCAAGTTATTGTTGTGACAATTGTATTCTGGATCATAATAAAATAATCAATTATACCAATTTACACCAATAATTAAAATCTGACTTGTATACATACTTACAAGACCATCATTGGAATAAGATTTTATAAACATGTTACTAGGATTGAACAAGAATAGACAACTATCGAATGGCCGAATAAAACATATGAACTGCGACAATCCTTAGGAGAGCGGACATGATCCCTTTCACCGATGCATCTGTGCGTTAATTAACGAGGGATAGCCGCCGTTGCGGCGGAATAAGGAACTGTTATACAACCAGCTCAGATAACCCACGCGATACTCCTGTAGTAATTGCGTGGAGAAATGTGAAAGGATTCATATTGCCGTCCAAATATACTAACATGATATTCTCTGCAAGCTTTTTGATAAGAAATAATATTCACTAGCTATTAATTTGGAAAACCCAATTCACTTTGCTTCTGTAATAATAGACCAGTACTTACTAAAAAAAAAAAGTTATTTTGCTACTTGCTTTCCCCCGCGACTCTGTCCGCGCGATATTAAAAAAAAAGTTATTGCCTCTGTCTTCTTCCAGACTATGATAAGCACTAAAAAAACAACTACATCAGTAATAAAAAAAACTTAGGTCTTAAAAACACGATAAAATAAAAAAATATAGCTAATTGAAATATAGTCAAAACACGTTTAGATTTGAAATCTTATAACCCAGAAACGTTATCAATTTGAAATCTACAAGATTTATCTAAATATGTATTATGAATAATATTAACTTAAATGAAAATTAATCACAGTTAGTCATTATGACCGGCGAACTAAAGAATAAATTAATAGTAAAGTCCGTGATATATAACAGCCATAAATAATTTGGTATAATTTGTATGGCCTGAAATGGTAAGGCATTAAACTAGAGTTAATTCACACAGAAAGTAAAAATGTAGCAAAGACAAAATTTACGAATAATATCGGTATGGAAAGTCAACAAAAGGTTTTCAACAATTAAAAGTTATAACTGAAGTAAATTATTAATCTACATCTACGTAATAAGTTGAAGACTTTCTTCGAGATAATTCCTAAACATATTCATCTTTGCGGCAACCTATATTTTAGAACTCACAGTATCTTACATTTAAACATGTTTGCTTAAGTATGTCAACATGGCTACCCGAAAGCTTTTGCACGTAACGCTTCCTTTTGTATAAACTTTACTGCGGAACTCAAATGAAAACTTGCTAATGATCAAGAAAACGCATCCAGCTATACTAGAGCCGTATAAAACGATCGGATTTTACAAGAATTTGCAATCATAAAAGCGGTCATGAAAAGTCGAGGCCGACGAAACGATGCGGACGTATTGCAGGATGTGGCCGGCTGCGGGCGTAGGCAGCGTATTGCTTGCTAACGTTTCATATTCCCCATCACTGCGTGTCCGGGGGACACTTCTAGTTTTTGGTTACCTTGATGTTGACATTTTAATTTAGTTCGGAGTAATCGTGTATCGATATTTACGAGATCATTCATTACACGGTTGCTAAAGGCGAACGGCTTTAATATTTGAGCGAACTTACCAAGGGTGCGAGGCGTGCGTCGAGGCGTGTGTGGTCGTTTGAGGCTTAAGTCCACCGGCTCCAACTGGACTGGCGGTTCACATGCCTAAAACATATTGAATAATTGTTAAATGTTTTTAAACAAACGATGTATAGGAAATTGAGAATAAGGACAGTATGAATTGAGGTTATCAAACAAAGGGTAGAAGTTGAAAATACAATAAGTTCAAGCTTTTCTCTGCCCCCATCAATTGGGCCTATTCACGCAACAGGTATAAATAGCTGATCTAGTCGCTATTAATAGTATGATTTAATTGTAGAAAAATCAGAGAGAATAAGACATCGAACGAGATAGTCATTGATGTTTGAAATTAGCAACGGAATAATAACGTTTGAGCGAGAAAGTTTTGAACATGAAATGCTTTAATTAGACGGCAGATCTAGTTTTTAAGTTAATTAAAAGCTGATAAAATCTAGACATGACACAACTAACTGACAGACGATTGCGCTTGAAGTTAACATTGCAAACCGTTAGATAAGACAGTATTGAAGAGAGCGATTTAAATTAAATTAAATCTTACTAATATTACAAATGTGAATGTTTGGATGGATGTTTGTTTGAAGCTAAGTTCGGACCGGCTCAACGGATTCCGGTGAAATTTAGCACACAAATAGAACATAGTCTGGAAGAACACATAGACTACTTTTTAGGTTTTTTTAGGTTTTTTACGTCGCGGACGGAGTTGTGGGCGACAGCTAGTTGCTTACAAATAATGCTACAAAGTTTGAGGTATACCGAACAAAGTATGGACAGATTGCGTGCAGCATATGCGTACGAAGGGAGTGAATTCAGATATGACAGCTGATAGACATAGAAAGAGTAATACGTAGGTTCTATATCTAACCAGCCTTGGGAAGAGGGCTGGAAGGTCAAAAAATAAAGCCTAATCATCCCTACATAAAATTATAATTTTTTATCCATTTCATACATCGGAATTAACTTATTATCTAGTAAGATTAAACGAAATTCCTGTCATGTTTATCACAACATTTCCTTAGTATTCAAACCTTCGTTTATCGAGACAATCCTTTATCATATCGATACTGTTTATCTCTATTCCATTTAGCCTAAACCCTTTCTATAGCTATTTAAACTTTCCTATAATATTACGCAAGTAATTGCGTCTCGCAACACACTTTATTCCGAAATCTATTATTTATTTTGAGAACGGTAACAAGTAACGCTCAAGTGTTCGTGTGAGAGCTAACACGCCTGTCTCGTGAGCATGCAATATGGTAAGTAAAGGTGGGGTGGTACTGTTACTGTTAGTTCATTCGGGTTTTAAAGTCGGAGTGAGAGCGAGCGAAAGGTTCGTGTTGCGATCTTCTTATAAAAAAAAATATGTATCTTCGTCTTGCATGCATTTGTAAAGCAATTATCAGATTGAGCTGAAATTTCGTAAATCGTTCTCAAAAAATCTTCGATGATTTTTGGCAAAAAATTCTGTCTATACAAATAGAAAAAGTATTCTACATAATATATAAATACTTGTTGTAACTCAAGACTCAGTCAAGTTAAAATCGCTCTTAATTCCGCCACGCTGTCACTCGGACCGCACTTTCGCACTTTAATTGCAGATGAGTCGTGCAGAAGGCGTTGCGTTGCGTAAGCGGTGCGGTCGTGCGATGCCGATCCGCCCCGCCCGCCTCTATCGCACTGCATTTACGTCGCCTATGATTTATCACGCGTCTCACACCTCGCCAATACCAGTCCAAACGAGAAAAGAAGTAGCGTTTAACCATAAACCAGTATTTAAGATGATAATATAATTGCTTTTGATAATTTTGAAACACTATTATGAACAGCAACACTTTGAGTTTGCGCTGAAGTAGAACGATAAGACGATATGACGAATTATTTCGATCAATAAAGTTTAGTCTACTCCTCGTGGAATGTAAAGTAATGTGGTCTTTAGGTATATCTGGTTTGACCGTTAAAAGATATTTTAATCAACAAATTGGTACTCGTAAAAAGGTTCGAAGTTTGCATTCGCAATAATACTTAAGACAGTCACAATATTAAAATTGTATAGGTCTTTTCAATCAACAACATTGCATTTTTTTTAAATAATGAAATAAACTAATATAGCCAGTTAAGAGACTTATGTTAATTTAATATAACATTGCTAACGAGCTATGTTATTCCAAGTTGACTAATTACAATATCACGTAAGAACTTAGTCATGTACAGTTTTCTAATTAGTCCAAATCGTGAGGGAAGGTATGTTTAAAGCGTAAAGGGTAAATAAGTATACAAAAGAGTAGGCAGTTGTAGGATTAGGTACTTACAAAATCAAAGATAAACTACTGAACTAAATAAAATGTAGAGTCAATTTGAACTTTATTAAACTATTTTTTTTATCGCGCGGACGGAGTGGCGGCCGATAGCTAGTTAATAATCTTGTGATGAACATTTCAATTCCTTGGCATATCTTAATTTTTGCATAGCAAAAGGTAAATCATTAAATATTACGGTAACCTATGAACATGACGATAAAACGATCAAGATCGTAACAAACGGAAGGCCATAATCTCAGCTAATGTGCCTCCGTGGGCAGTAATGAGTAATATTATCATACGCCGCCCTTATTACCCGGCCAACGATAAATCATCTTCGCCCAGTCATAAATCATATCAACGATCTCATATTAACATATATCGAGTAGAAATTAAAGATATGAAAAAAATCATATATATATAGGAAACATAGCAGATGGTGATATTATTATTATATTAATATTATAAATGGTTCGTATCTTATTTACGTCCTTTTTGTAAGTTGTAAGTCCACTTAGGTGTTATCTTTGTTAAATGGTTGGATCACGATAACTTGAAGTTAACATTTCAAGTTATGAGCTTAACTCAAAACTGCGATATTTCACTTGTAATGTTTTATTACAACTCTACTGATCTACGGCACGAAGCGACGTATGTACAGTGCGGTTTGTTGTCGGTATTCCACCTTTATAGACACATCGTTCATCTTGAAAGCATAAAAATCGCTTGATGGAATGTTGTAACAGTGTATTCTGTTCTAAACAAAAGGGATACACTGTAGTCCTTATGTTTTTTTAACAAAACCTTGATTAGTACCTTAGATGTTTATTTGTAAGCCAGGGCGGGCAAAGCAATTTTTCTGTAACTATTATAGAATACCGCCAACGATGGCGACTGTACAAGTGGCAGACAACTAATCGCTTCTGCGAAGCTGACCCCAAACGACTTGCCTCCGAACAATTCAACAAAGATGTTTAATTTTTTCTCAATTCCAGTAATGTCTTAGAACATCAAACTCGTTATTTGGTTGTTGATTTTTTATTCTACATTTTGCGTGACTACGTATAGCCTCGTAGAGACGCAGGTCCAAGGTTGGATTGTATTTTTTACAAATGATCACTACTCTATGCCTTTTGTTTCATTGGGTTTAACTTAATTTGAATAGTTTTAGTGTAAAAATAGTCAATTTATTATGATGATATCGGAAATTGGAAAAAAATGTCTTTTGTACATACTTATCTCTGTTTTTCTGAAGAGATTGAAAGGGATGAAAATATCTTATGCACTTTTATGTTTCAATTGTGAAAACCTACAATCACCAAGTGTCAATCATGCCAATGGATCTCGCTGAAATTTGGCATACATGTAGAACATAGTTTGGAAGAACACATAAGCTACTAATTAATTTTTTTTTTAATACCGCGCTAACGGAATCGAGGGCGACAGCTAGTTTTTTATAAAATGTAAAACGATAGTGTCAATTTTAATGCAAAAAAAAGTAACAGAAAAAAGTGAACCGTCACTATTCACGCAACGTATGAAAAATAGGGTGTACGTTTAATCATACTTTACACGGTCGAATAAACAGGTTCACAGAACCGGGAAAATACAGACAAGCAACAAAATAATATATATACATATCTGTTTCATAAGTTTTACATTAACAACATCATTAACATTGAACCGCACCATAAGCTTAAAGATAATAAAAAATGTACATTCCGTCTAGTATGTTCTGAATTTACATAATTTAATTCACCCATCGTTCTTCGCTCGATAAAGTACGCTGAGTACTGTGTACTGTGGAAGGTATTATGGAAAGCCCATATCAAGCAGTGGACCGACACTGACCGGTCTGAGGATGAACCTTCCTACTATAAGATGTTTATAAATCCATCTTAATCTTATATACCGTTGGTTTCAGAGACCAAAATCTCTGTACATATTGTAATCCCTGTCATTATCTTTGACAAAACATAGCTAACAATATTTTTTAACCGGTTAATATTTGGAGAGATTCTACAGATAGCAACTGCCAGTATTTGTTTGAATATTTAGAAGACTATTAGACGCAAAACCATCGTAGAAACGTGTTCTACTTACCAGTGTTAGGTAAATAATAATTAATTTGAAACAATAATTGCACGATCAAAATAAAAGATATTCAGGCGATATGGACGTCTTTGTTGCACATTTAATTGTGATTAATGAGGCAAATTGCAGTAGCACGCAATAGCATTGACACTACCCGATATCAATTGTGTTTACCAATGCCCTAATATAATGAAATAGAAAAGTATAATTTAGATATGAAGCAACTTTCTTGCAAAGTGGTTGAGTTGGATACCCTGAGGCGTACGGAACTCCTGGCAAGGGCGTATGAAGGCGGAAAATAAGCGTACGAGTTCATAACTTTGATTTGTAGATCCACAATTTGAACAAGAAATGTAACATTTGTGGATTCGCTGACTTTAGTCAAATTTTATACCATATAGAAACGATAGTTTTGTAGTCTGCAGACAAGTCCGAAAATAACTAAAATAAGTACATAATTTACTTTTAAAATCTATTTGCCTCAAGTCGATCTCACAGCCTTTCACTTTGACTTCGACTTTCATAGTTCTCACTGTGTTGCAGTCTTTTATATTAAAAATATGCAGCAAAGTGGCAACACATAATGTCAGATGCGCATCTGACGGGCAAGAGGTAAGAGGGCGCGGCCTCTTTGCTAATACTTCGTCAGATTGCATTTTGATCGAGTGGAATCTGCCATGTAAGAAATTAAATTATAGTTTAAGATTGCAATGGCGTAAGCTTAGATTTACAAAATAAAAAATGGCGAATTTCTATAAGGAAAAAGATAATTTTCGTGGGCGCAAAAAGTTCCAATATTAGATAGTTTTCTGAAGATATTTTTAATGATACAAACGTAATAAATAAGCATGTACATTCACCTATTATGCGTCCATATTCGGAATGAAAAAGCAGTTTACGTTGATACAACTGTATTGAAATGCGTCATAATTCAAAACGTCAATAGTCAAAAAAATTACTCTGCAGACTTTTTTAATTGAAAAGTTAGTTTAGTTAGATCCATACCCACAATTTTTTTGTAACTTGCCACTTAATTTCAATCATTATCTAGGATCAGGATCTATTATTTTAGGATTCGAAATCTTAGTCTGACGTCAATAATAATTGTATATACAATCGAACCTCGATAAGCAAGAAACCTCTATAAGAATGACGACGCATTATTCGATTCCGACGGTGTAACTCACGTACCTCTGTAAGCCAGGAAAGTATTGCGGTCCTTTGGACTCTCGTTTATCTTGTTTTCTTATTGCAAACGTTAAAATAGGTTATCCTTTATGTGAAAGTCTTTATTTTTCTATAGATAATCTATTACAGTGTAACTAAATTTAAATAATCTCTCATTGCCTCGAAATTTTTTTTAAATCGCATACAGAACGTAATAGGCATACTTATTACTTTTTCTAAGCCGGATTTGAACACATTTAAACCTAGAGTTGTATTCAAATGGTTGCTTTTTCGGTAAGCATTCCGTTAATAAGTCGGTACTTCCCGTTTAACGATAGTTTTTGCTAATTAATTCCGGATTTTGCCCAATTTTCATGTAAATGAGTAAGTACACGCATGCAAATGCCATGCCGCTCCCTACAAATGTTGGTAAGTAAAATATTTTTGTTAACTCTATCTGAATTGTTAGATTTTTTAGTTCTATAATATGGCCAGAAACATATACAATATGACCATAAAGTATTTATGGCAATTATGCGATTAAAAAGATTTTTTATAAAAATACTAGCTGTCGTCCGCGACTCTTTCCGCGTGTATATATAAAAAACTTAATTAGTGTAGCCCACCCATCCATCCATCCACATGAAATCCATCTAAACGTTCGCATTTATAATATTATAGTAAGTTAAATAAAGAGCAGCTCTTCAAAAAAAATTCATAAATTCGAAAAGAAAAAATTAATAAATAGTATCCTATGTCCGTTTCCTGGCTCTAAGCTACCTCCTCACCAATTTTCACCCATATCAGTAAAGCCGTTCTTGAGTTATAAATAGTGTAACTAACACAACTTTCTTTTATACATATAGATTTAAAGAATTTAGTGTCACAAAGTGATATCGATATCGATAGTGCTAGTATAGTAATATCTAATTTACCTCATGTTACAGCAACGCTATCTACACTAATTTGATTTTACAACATTCTGGCGTCTATAAGTATTCATTTAAACTAACAGTACGTGATTTAGTATCACCGCAACGGATTACATCGCATGCAAACTGAGCAATGGTTGTAAAAACTTAATATGGTGTAGTTGACGTAAGAGGTCCGTTTAACGGCATATCATCCAATCGGACTAACGAAGCACTGGCAGTTGCGAAACTATTGTGGTGTTTTCAAACCTCAACGAATATCGGTACCGTTGAAATCCAAAGGGTCTAATTTGACGTGCGATTTGAATATGGAATCGACTCCCGCGCACAGATCCCTATCATTAATTGATCTATTGATTCCTCGCTATCTGATCGAACAAGGGAAATTGTTAAATGCTTAATGGCTCCTGTTTTCTTGCAATATGCATTTCATATCATACATATTTAAATATCACAGCCGTTTACATTTCATGTTTACTAGTGCAATCTTTTATTGATAAGATGTTGGAGAAATCATCAGTTTATTACATAAAACACTAACGTAGAAAAAAAGGTAGAAAAATAGTATTATACTAAAACAATTTCGGATGTTTATGGGCAGCGGTCGCTTCATTAATTCTGCGATTTTAGGTGTCCGCTTGCCATCACATAGTAATATATTTTCTTACCTCCATAGTTTTGGGCAGCATGACGCCATCGCGGCGCCCCGCGCCCTCTCTTTCATCCTGAAAAAAAATGTATGTCTAAAATATACAATTATCACATTAGAGGTATCTTTAATTTATTAATAACCGGGGAAATATATTGAGTATTGTTATACAACGGGTTATATAATAGAAAATTGATCGAAAATCGACGAAAAATGTTATATATTTTAATTATTTTGTTGATGAAAGTTTTGAGTGGAAAAAATTGAATATCAACCATCTACGTGCAAATGTTTGGTATCACTAGATCTTTTGTAGAAGGATTTTGTTTTAATTAACTTTATATAAATGCTGTTAAGGTTTGCCGTAATCTCGTCATCTTGTCAATTATCTAGAACAAGATCGCCAGCGTAAATTATAGGCCGATAATTACATAGTTTCATAGCTAAATGACCACTTAATAAAAAGGGGAGGTAAAGATGCCAGGCTCTAGATCACCGTTAAATTGACCGTAAGTAACCGCATAGGTTTATTTATAAAATATACAAGATTAAACGTGACACACAGATTTTTATATATTATTTACTGTATTAGTATGTTATTGAAAGCAATAAAATATATGACCATATCTCAAGAACAAAATAGTTACCGCAGTCATAAACTAAGATATGTATCGGTTCTATTACCTCGCGACTACTATATCCCATTCAATGTCGTTTGTTATGCCCGTTGGCAACATTTCATATCATCTGATATGTTGAACGGATCTTGTATCGGCGTGGGCTACCCACCCACCGCGCTACGCCAATATCGCCAATCACAATCTGGCATACTCAAACTTATCGCCAACCACGATCTGACAATGTCCTCATGATCGGTTTGAACTTATAGAGTATCACACCTGTCACTCTTATCACTGCCAATCACAGGTTAAAATGCACAAGAAAAAAAGATAAAAGAAATGCTAGATTCGTAATCAGAGAAGCGAGAGATATAAAAGCTTGATATAATTTCAAATAAAATATTTTTACGCAGAATATAAGCTTTGTAAATGATGAAAAGTAAAGAGATTTCAGGAAATTCTTCAAATTATCAGAACGAAAATTAAAATAAATTAACCCTTATTGTGGCAAGATTTCTTTTTTGAAGAAAAGCAAAAAAAAAAGTTAAAGAAAAAACTAAGTTAAAAATTATTTTATAGTGATCGTATATTTTTATAAAGTTGTATGAATGGTATACTATACAAAATTAACATAAGGGTTAAAGTAATTTAGGGAGTTGTGCCAAAAATGATAGTTGCAACGCCAAAGTATATTTTCTATAGATTTACAACTGCCTAAAGTCTGTTACAGTGGTCACGACATATCGCCGCATCAGAGCAGGGGACAAATGCGTAACGCAACATTCGCCGAATGTCCGACGGCCAGTGAAAGCAAAATGCTAAGTTCCCACGATACCGTTTCGGCTAGGGTTGGTGAATGTACGAAATCGTAATTTAAATAGCGTGTTGCCTAAACAGGCTAACAACTCTAACAGATAGTGCGTGAAATAGAATGTAACACTTCAAATACTACAATTACTACAAGAATTTGATGACCCTAATCTTAAGACGATAACTTTTACGATTACTATAGCCCTAAATGAAATCAATAATAAGTAATTTAAAATAATTTAAACTCACGCAATTATAAGAGATAAAGACACTTTTTACAATCTTTATTTTACAGAAAAGGACATAATGATATTCATCCAAAAACTATAGAGTTAAGCACTAAATTACAATTTGGTAGATATAGAACAACAACACAATAGATTTCAAAATAAAGATTCCTGATATAATAGAAAAAAAACTGACCAATACGTATAACCAATAAATAAGATAGATAGCCAAAGATTTATGTTTCGGAGATATCTGATAAGTATTCAGAGCAAATGTTAAATTCCCACGATACGATTGAAGATGAGACCATATAAACCTTGTCCCGAGCAAAAAGGTTACACAATTTCATAAACGAACTTAATTAACTATAGTTTGCATTTACTTAAATTATGTAAATGTATTCAATAGAACAAGCAATTCATTTATATTTGACAATAGTTTTAATCTAATCTTGTAATCCTGTAGCCTTTAAATTTTGATATAATAGTAGAAGTCGCTAAAAAGGTTGGTCGATAATTCTCGACATAATTTGCTTTAGCTTCTAAGTTCAAAAGCGAAAGCCCTGTATCCCGCGCGTGAGATGTCACTCGTCCTTGTCGCACTCACTTTGAGACATTCTGACAGACAAGGACAGACGCGTTTTATCTATCAGATGATACGTTCTATTTGGTGTTACAGTACTTTCCTTTCCCTTTAAAGAAAAATATTATATTTATCTAAAACTTGGAAAATCTGTGCTTTACTTTTAAAAGGCATGTGAAGTGAAATTCAATTTTATGGCCGATTCCTTTGCGTTTTCCATCCAATAGATTCCTGAAATCTAAATAAGATCTACGGTCCCTTTTGTACCTTACTAAAATTGCGTCTTGTTAACTTTTTTCCGTCTTTAAAAGGTTTCAACATAGAAGCTTTTAGTCTTATCCTTTCTATAAAATATTCCTAGTTTTGCAATTCTACATAGATATTCTTTGCTATTTCTATAAATGAATTTTAATGTGAGAATTCTTTATTCGTGTCTGTGTATATTTTAACATTTTCAACAAATCGTCTTAGCAACATGATTGTATAAATGTGTATGTAACGTTAAATTCCTGATGCCGGTAAAAAGTTTTCCATTTTAGTTCTTAACGAAGCCGTCTCTACGAATCGTTGTGCATGAGCGAACGCCTTTTTACATTAGAAAATCTATTATTTTCACAGATGGATAACTTATAAACGTTTAGAGTGAAGTCGTAAATATTTATGATTCTTATTTTCATGCTCCCACGTAGTTTTTTTTCACACTGAGATAAAAAGACATGTAAATTTATAAAAAAATGAATACTTTATAATAATCTTTACTTTAATGACTACTTTTCAAATTAAAATTATCGGGATACTAGTTGTCGCCCGCGACTTCGTCCGCACGATATAAAGAAAAACATCATTAGTAGCCTATGTGTTCTTCCAGACTATGTTCTATATGTATGTAAAATATGGCGATCCGTTCAGCCGTTCTGGCGATACCTTCAAACAAACATCTATCCATCCAAATATTCGCATTTATAATATTAGTATGAAATAGCTTATATAGGAATTATAATAAAAACATCGTTTTGAGATTTTACATATTATCTAATGTAAACAGAAGTCGATAAAATTAATGAAAGGTGTGAAATATCTAACGATTAAAGCCTTTCAATACCTTAAGAGGTTTTATTACACCATTAGAGCTATTATTCGGCGTTAAATTAACTTTACCACTAATAGATAACGTTTAACCGATGTTCCATTAAGCACAGCGCTCGTCTGAAGATAACCGACGCGCCGATAGTTGCAAAAACGTCACAGTTTTAATGATCGAGCAATTATCTAATGAAATGATGTCAAATCAAGCTCTCTTACTTACATAGACTTTAATTAAACTCTAAAACCAATGTAATGTTTACTTGAAACCATTCCGGGGCACGGTTAGCTACGAAGAATTCAAGTTAGCAAATCATCACTATATTAAACTAATTACTGAGATAAAAAACTGTTAAAAATGTCGTTTCAACCTAATCAGGTAGAGTAAAAAATGCTTAAATTAGTTACCTATCTGATCAAATTATTACCTAAACATATCAGACGTGAAACTATCCCTGCGTAACATCTTTTGAACACATCTGCATATAACATCAGGTGGGATTGTGTTCAAGCTCGAGTTTATTCAAGTATGTAATTGGAAAAGTATATAGTTACGTTATCATGTGTTTCGTAAATAAAAAAATTACGGTTTTCCCAATTTTATCTTTATCTGTGCATTACGACGTTGTTTCGTGCCAAATTTCAAGATTTCAAGTTCACGGGAAGTACCCTGTAGCTTTTGATTCCCTTGCGAATTGCAAAAATTTGCGACATAAACGATTGTACTAGTATCCTTTGATTGCGTTGGTTTATAAGCTTTATTTTTTCACAGCACCTCGCGACGGCAGACCTGAGTATTTTTTTATAATTTCCAGCTTGATACCTTCACGCATTTTAGAGAAAAAGGGTCTTGACAGACAGACGGACGGACAACAAAGTGATCCTATAAGGGTACCGTTTATATCTTATGTGGTACGGAACCATAAAAATATTGTTTATATTATTTTAAGGAGAATAAAATCTATAATTAATACCGCTTCGTTATGTATTTTTAGACTAAACATCATTTACCATCATTATCTTGGTATAATTGAATACAATAGATATTGGGCACGCTTTACGTCAATTTATTTAATTTATGTAAAAAAATGGCATGTTATTGAACGATAAATATTTAACACGTTTCATTAATGTTAATGTAATCGGACAGTTAGTATTTTTTATAGAAGAATTACCAGCTTACCGCTGGTTTCTGAGCCCATAATCTCCTCATAAATTTAAAACATATCGCTATCTCCGTTTCAACAAAGATGACGATGTATTTTATACACATTTTGGTTTCAGAAACAAACGGTTAGATGTGTATAATCGCCATTTGAGGGTTTTATTTGATTGGATGAATTACGATTATAAACCGAATCGTAGTTTAAAAAAATCTACGACTGGTTTCGGTTGTGTAATTTTTATTATTAGTATTAAACACTTGTGTCAGATAGGTGCGATTATGCTTTAAATAATTAAAGGAAATTTACTCGTAATGCCCGCTCTATAACTAGTAATACATTTGAATCTCTATGCTTGTAAAGTACATTTATTAATCATAAACTCATCAAAATCATACAGGAATGCATAGAGTATATTATAAAATGTAGAGAGTACATTATATTTGCTACATGACTTTTAAAAGGTTCCTTGATAAATCTATTCACATAAAATAGAGCAATAGATCTTGTTTGCAGCAGTTTATATGCAAATAGCGATGTCTAATTTCGACTACTGTATTTAATACTCGTTTAGTTAGCAAATTGTATAATTTTATTTAATTAAGAGTAACAAATAGGTTGCAATTTATATTGCTAGCTACTTCGCCTTCGATTCGCGTGCACGACTGATACTTTCCAGTTTATAAGTTACAAATCTGTAATCTATATAACCAAAGATAAATATAACTTTCCTTTATGCCATAGACAAATAACTAGATATTATCGTTATAAATATAAGCGTTTTACAATTTAGCCTTTTTTTTTCATTCAAACACTCGATTTTCATCCTCACCCTAGATGCAAATCTTTGTAGTCCTAATGGCGGGAAACTGTAAAATTACACCGTTTGGTAATTTACTAAGTTCATTCGTCTAAAAATAATTCAAACGTATTTAATGATGTTCATCTCCATGTAATGCAACAGGCAAATCACGATCGCACGTTACTGGGTGAAGGTTGCGAGAAAATCGCAGAGATGCGGCAACCGACAACCGACCCGCCTTGCCTAAGGCCGCCGACACACCCAGCGCTGCTAAATAAAGACCTTTAACCTGAATTACAATAATAGTGAACACGATTTGTTACTAAGACGACACTCATTTATTTAATCTTTATGTTACAAATTTCTATACTACGAGCTAAATGGGAAATGCTTGCTTGTTGTCCTAAATGGAATGTATAGTACCTGACCTTTTCTCTAAACTCCAAATTATTCTTAACTAGCTGTAGCCCGCGAATCCGTCCGCGCAGAATTAAACAAACAACTTAATTAGTTGCCTATATGTTCTACATCTATTCCAAATTCCAGCAACATCCATGCAGCCGTTCAGAACATACTGTCTAACAGAAATCCATCAAACCAATCGTATTTATAATATTAGTAAGATGGATCAGTAAGAGAGTCCCTTAGCAGAGATGTATGAGCTAACTAAACTAAGGCTGCTTTGGAACAAAGAATTACAGAAAGAACAGTATGGCAGTAAGTTACAGTAATCTTTTCAACAAAATGTATAATCAGAGCACATTTAAATATAATAACTGAAAACGAACAAAAACGGTTCAGTACAAAACGTCAATCACTTATTAGACTGTATGTAAATCTATCTTATAAAAGCGCTTTTGTAATCACATTTGGCAGTAACGAGTGGCGTTAGATGCATCACGACCTTGCGATCACCGCACGGATACGAGCCCGATATATTAAGGTCCATACTACGGCTACCAGTTAAACATCCGGCTGTTTGTTACTTGAATACGGAAGACGTTCTAATTTGTTGTTGAATTAATACCTACATATAAAAAAAGTTCGTTGACTCTATTCCTGTGACTGTGGTACTACGAGAAAAATACCAATGATTTTCCACTAGTGAAAATCGGACAAGCTGTTTGGAAAAAGGAGGTTAAATACGTGTTTATGGAATTTAGATTGGAGTATCTGTAATGTTGTCTGTCCGAAAACATTTGTTTGTTCCGGGTAATCTCCGAAACGGTTAAAACGATTTTGACGAGACCTTCACTGAAATGTAGCTTGTGTGTGCGGGGATAACTTAGGCTATTTGTTAGAATTTTAATTTATTTTTTATTCTGTGCTTGCCGTTACTTGAAATAACGTATGCATGTTTAACTTTTGCAGTATTATCTACAAGTCGGGTTCTTAGCGGATCTTGTATAAAACATTAGCCTAACCTTATTGATTTATACTTCAAGCATAAAACAAATAAGCTTTGAATTATTTATAACTAAGATTACGTACAGCTACGCCTTAAGATGCGCCTTACGTACGGGTGTGGCGAAATACGGCATTTGATTAATGGAATCACGCTGTGACCTCTTTTTTGACCTTACTCCGTAAAATTATATTATAATGTTTTAATTTTAGACGCAGTCTGAAAGTAGCATCAGTAGCAGAAAGATCAAGAGTAGGTCATGAGGAGGGAAGACACGCATGTGACAAGGTGAACTTTATAACTGTAGTTTGGAGGGCAATACCGTTAGAGTATAGTAGGCCTAGGAAGAGAGGGATGTTGTGCTGAGATGATGAATCGCTTATTACCACTGATTCGGTTATTCAAAATTAAACAACAAAGGGAAAAAAGGACAAAAAAATAGAGATATTTAAGTACTAATGTCTCCATTTACAGTTATTCAAACTTTTAAGGTTTGGTGACAAGAAATGGTGGATCCAAGAGTGGCGAGGCTAGTGGCTGATTTACAGACTTAGTTGCCTTAGACTCCGTGATAACAACCACCCCTTCTCTATTTGTATTGTACTATATCTAATATTATAAATCAGGTGTTTTTTTCCCATATTGGCTTGACCGTCGATAATTTCTGGCCGCTGTAGTCCCAGACCTTTTCGACGCCTATGAGCTAAGCTCTCCTAAATGTCTTGTACGTCCTGCATCTTTGAGTAACGAGTATGATAAAATATAGGGTTACGTTTTTACGATAATTTTAACTACATTCAAACACATTAATTTACTTACCATGTAAACCATTAAGCGCCTTTTTGCTGGTCCCCACAGTCATGTGCTTGTGTGCACTGCGAACAAAAACATTATTCTTATTAAAATATATTTAGCTAATTAAAAAACAAAAAAGGTTTTTATACATACGATTAGAACTTCTTTAAAAGGTGGACAGAGGTGTCAAATTAAAGGTGCATAGAATTTACCAATCTACAAACACGTACATACGTGTTAAGGATGTGTACTAAACTTCAGTTTGAATATTTTGTGAATATAAGTTTAAAATAGGATGAAGGTAATTTTCTAGCAGCGTACATGTTAATAAATATTTGTAAAAACATGTAAATTAAGGAATTTCCGTTTCATTAAAAACATTAAATAGCATTTAATAATTCACTTAAATACTATTATTTTAAGCTCTTTAATTAAGTTATTTTTAAGACGCAGTGAACCACCATTTAAACATGTTTAGCTAAATTGAGAAAAAAATTCTAAGCTATTTTGTACATTTCAGAAGCCCGTCGAAGTTATCCCTAGTAGTTTTAGGAAGTGATCTTTAGTAACTTAGGAATTATCTACTAATATTAGTTGCTTATACAATTTACATAGATATGTAGGTGACTTAGAGGTTTCAATTTACCAAGGACAAGTCGTGGTTAATATATCACCATATGGATGGCCCCAGTTTTATTATATTTACTTGATTGACTTAACTAGAAATAGTTTCACTATAAATTAAATCGTAGTTGTATAATATTTCAAAGTATTTCATCTGTAACGCAATTTTCCTTTTAGAATTTCTTTTTTTTCTCTCTTTATTTTTTTTAGGGACTTTCGTTCTTTTGAACATGTCAGTCCCATAACATTCAACTTAGGAAGTAATTACAACCACAAGTAAACAAGCAAGCAACAAAACTAAAAAAGTAATTTCTACAAAGCCTTTAGAACCATGATTCGGACTCCCTCTGCTAGATCCGACAATGGTTTGGCCAAGGAAGATTAGAATTTCTTGTAGTTGTAGCTTCGACAACTTTTTTTTAAAGTCAAAATTATACTGTTTATTTGTAAAAAGAAACAAGTAAACATTACTTAAAACATAGAATAAGAATCGAATGCAAGACAAGATTTACGAACGATAATACAATGTTGTAGTCAACATTGTTAAAGCAAATCATTGAGTTACCCCAGGTATTAAAAGTGACTCGATATAAAATGACAGCTCATCAAACGTGTTTCCATGTATGACAAAGTAATATACGAGTTTCATCTGATATTAAATAGATCCTGGTCTATAAAATCATACTAATCTTACTTCTTCTTACTTTAGATAGATGTACGTATGTTTGTTACGAGGTATCTCCGTAACTGCACAACGGATCTTGATTAAATTTGGCATAGATGTAGAACATAGTGTGGAAGAAAATATAGGCTACTTTTCAACTTTTTTAATTCTGCGCGGACGGAGACGCGGGCGACAGCTAGTATGTAATAAATAAAAGCCGATTTGCGTAAATGAATCCTCGGCTACTATAATGAGTTATGCAGGAATTAGTTTTGCAACTGTAATGAAATCGATATTTCTTTAAACGCCTTTATAACGAGTTTTCATTCACAAAAAAATTGAAACAAAAAAAAACAATGATTGGTTAGTTTAAAGGAAATGGATGCAATATTTAAATGATTACAATATTTTCTGAGTATTTTTCATTGAATAAACTTAAGGTAAATTGAATTCTAATTACTATTTAAATTTTAAAAAAAATCTTTAAAGGTGAAAAGGATGTAATAAAATAAAAAATTAAGCTGATAATTTCGGCTGGACAGGGGAAATACAACGCAAGAATGGAAAAGCCACATTCTTTTATTGAATCTTAGAAAATGCTGTTACTTAAGGTGTCCACAGCAACATTCCTCCACTTCAAATAAGTGATACTTAAAAACTTCACACCTTTAAGTAACAAAAACATATAACTTGGTATTAAAGATTTACATCACTTAAAAATGCGTCTTATTTCAATAGTATAAGATTTATTATTCAACATTTTCGTCTTAAATAGTAAAAACCGTTCATGTCACTTTGTGAATAAAACTGATATGGTATGATTGTTTTCCAAGTATAGTAGTGACTTAACTTTAGTACTGGATTCCAGATAGTATACAATTTCTTCACATACATATTAATCTCAAAGACAATCATTCTCTTTGGTGAAAAATATCATTGGTTGATAAAAAGAAAATAATAATTTAAACACATTCAATACCAATACAATTTTCAAATCCATCCCAAGCAGAATCGTCAGCAGTGAATGTGTTAATATCATTATTAATATTTAAAAACATGAAAGAAATACTTACAATGTGAAAAGTATGTTGAATCTTGAGCAGTGCAGAAGTAAAACTCATATTTAAATCTAATTATAAAAAAAAACTATATCTAATACTGGCCTTATTTATCTTAATATAAATCTACCCTCACATTTTGACTAAAAATTAAAACGTTAAATTATTTATTAAACGAAAATAAAAAGAACTAAAGTCACATAATCAAGATATCATGATATTTAGAATGTTTCATTGAATATCAACTTCTGTGTTCCATACTCAACGTTCGGCAAAGGTCTATCTGTAACAAAAAAAAATGTTTTTTAATACAAAACATAACATCTAATTACAATATACAAAAATCACCCATGAATATAGAACAATAAGGCTGACAATTATTAATTACTAAGGTACAACCATATTAAAGAATCATGAGATGAAATTATAGTACCTATAACACTCACTTTACTCTGTTGAGATATATGTCTTTTCATTCAATGAGTTAATACCACTGCATAAAGTCAAGTTTATTATTCTAGATGTCCCAATATACCATGTTTTGTTATTTAAACTTGTAAGATATTGGCTCATTCTTCATATATTTTCAACATTAACATCGGTGATACAAGCTTATGATACCATAGTTTATATTATAATATATACCACTAGATAACTTAGTAAAATAATAATGACATGTCAAAAGACATCTGCAATAATTTAAAAGATTGTAGATGTGTATTCTAGTTTTAATGGACAAAGAAGAGATAGAGAAAGATTTTGATTTTGGACAAATCAAAGTAAGAATGCAAAATACCACATTACTTGAAATATAAAGACTGGTAGGGTTAAGTAAAGGTAAGTAGTTAAAAAAAAGTTTCTTTTGTCTTAGATATCTAGAATATTATTACGAAGTTAATTTAATAATAGTCAAGTTTATAAGCCCTTACATCAAAATATATTTTAGTTACATACCTGATTTTATATTATTATAAAGGTTACAATGAAACCTTTGCCACGTATTTCACATAATTTAGCTAATCCACATTTAATGTTACTTTTTGTAACATTTAACCACCAAAAATCAGCGTCATTCATTGAAAAAGTTCAGTCCCATACGTCACGTAAATATTTTTATTGAACTGTCAAACTGGCACAACTGATTTACAGAGAAAACATTGGATCAAAAAAATAGACGAAACGGAAAGTTGAAAAATTAAAGATATCTTTTTTGTGCTGGTTATATTTATACCGGGAAGTTTTGTTTTAGCGTGCAATTATATTGAGTGCAATTTAACTTAAAAACACCGCTATACCGCCGCGGCGGCCTTCTAACACTGCATGGGTAGTACAGTCAGGTACAGTACGATAGTAAGTATATTACGGCGATTGCACCCACTCGCTTGGCCGGTTTACGCGCGCACTAGACAGGGCTAAGCACAATACAGATACAATGCCATAATAATTAAAAAGTTAATTATGGATTTTAAAATGCTATCAATTTCTACAAGTGAACTTGTTCTAACACTTTTATATTTTTTTTTAAGATACAAAACAACAAAGTTTGTATTTATTACGTTTTATCTTTTCAAAGTACCAAGAAATTATAAAACAAATTGAGAAGTCCTTATATTTCCATTAGCTTCTGAATTTTAAAATTTCTATGCTATCGCCATCTTTTGACAAGAATTATTTGTCATTAAAATTAAATAAATTCATATGAAAAACCAAGGAAGTAATTTTAGAAACAGATCTTTCAATGAAAAACAATGTTTATGAAGTATTTTTTGATAATGAAAATCTTTATTACACCTCGCGAATACATTAGTTGTTATTGCCTTGCCTACATTTTGATTACTGATATATATTTTTATTCGGAGTTAAGTTTTCTTTTCTTCTTGTAGTATTCTATTTTTTCTTCTAAACTCGCTGAAAAAAAATACGAATTTTATACCTTATTAATTTTATACATATTACATTTTATACCCCAGGTTTTGATGGATGGATGTTTGTGAGAATATATCTCCAGAACAGCTGCATGGATCTTAATGAAATTTTAGCATAGATGTACAACATAGTCTGGAAGAACACATAGGCTACTAAGTTTTTGATACCGCGCAGACGGAGTCGTGGGCGACAACTAGTAAAGAATAATTGATAACTTACTACATGTTTCTCTCTTCAATAAAGGTGTGTAAACCTTTGGTTTAACTCCTTGAAGCAAACAGTCAGTGTAAGGCAATTCTGAAATATCTTTTTGATTTAGTTTACAATATTCACGCTCCAACTGCTTAAGAACATCACAAATCATAGTTGTTCTGAAAAAAGAAAAAAAAATAGTTTCATCCCAACACATATAATTGGTAAATAGATTGCCGTTCATATCAACCATTGTACTATTGTATTTTAAAGTGATTTGTATAATAAAGGTATCTAATTTCCTGTATACGTATATTTTGTAACGAGAACAAAAAAAATCGTACAATGTCTATGGTCAAAATATTTCTATTTTTGAAAATTGAAAAATATATAAGATATAATAAAGATTTTTTAAGCCTTTCCAAACTTACTATTTTTCAGATATTTTTTTTTCAACAATTATCGATACTTACTTTATACTATGTAGTGTCCAATCACTTTGCAGTATTGTTATAACAGACTTGAGTTCATCAAAATCGTAAATCCATTCATTAGAGTTCTCTAAATCATAGGAACAATGAAATAGATTCAATGGAAGATCCAACGCCATGTTGTATTGTGGTTTTCTAAAACATATATAATAATAATTAAATACACATACAATTTACAATTTGTATATATCAAAAAATCCCTAAACCATTGGTTGGATTATAAAAAACTTTGTTAGGATATGTCAGGTTAAAAAAAATAATGTAAAAAAAAATTTGCAATTATTCTTTGTCTTTTTAGTTTATTTTTTCACACTATTTCAACATAATAAGCCTGTTATTAATATAAAAATAATAAAATAGTTGCAAATACAGGAGATGACATATTACTTTAGAAGTATAAGAAATGTTACAGACCTCGGATTGTTTTCAACATCCAATAATTTAGACATAATATCTGGCTCTTCCTTTCCATTCCCAATAAGCAGTAATAAGCCCATAATGCATCTTATTTGATGCCAAAGAAAAGCGTTTCCTTCTATTTGTAGACAGTACATAGATGTAGCTGAAATTCAAAACAATAAATGTTTAATACAAGTTAAAAAAAAAAACAGAATGTCAGCCACGTTATTAGTACACTTACGTTGATCTGTATAATTTCTATCTACTGGAATTATATCAGCTTTAAATATTTCTCGATAAAATTCTGTAACACCATTTCCTACATCCATTTTGCACAAATTTCGAAAATCTTTCAAACCAATGATATAACTGCAGGCTTCTTTCATTTTGTCTAATTTGAGATTTAATCGTGGGAAGTAATATTTGTACTGACGCTTCTTGCAATCAAACCTATATAAGAAAGGGAAAAATATCTTAGTAACATTATAAATGCAATGTCATGGATAAATGGAAGGTTAATGTATGTTCGTGTAAAAGTATCTTCAGAATGCATCAATCTTTCTTCATAAATGTAGAACATAGTCTGGAAAAACACATCGGCTACTAATAACTAATATAATAACTAAAACAAGTATTTGTTAATTCCGCGCAAAGGAGTCGCGGGTCACAGCTAGTTAATTTTTAAAGATCAAATGGGAACTATGTGATAGCAGAGTTAAATCATAAATTTGTAGATCCTCCTAGATTAAAAGGGTTATTTTCCACCGAAGCAAATCCAATTGCTCTGAAAATCATTTACCAAATTAAATATGGTGGGAAAGGAAATGAAGACTACACTATTATTATTTTACCTGGCACTGTAGTCAGGTTTATCATCAGGTATTGGCATCCATGCTACAGCACGAATATCTTTCGGAAGAAGGCGGTTCAATGTCTTACAGTATGGCAACTCTGAATTTAGTGATTCTAGAGTATTCTGTTGGTCTGAGGAATGCTTGCTTCTAAGGGTAATTGATATGACCTGAAATATTTGTTTAGCAACTCATTTACTTTTTAAATGTTGGAACAAGCTTTGTCTATTTTCTTTCTGTAGTTTCCAATATATGTGTCATATACTTAATATTGCTTTATGAATAAAATATAAAAATGAGGTTTTAATTACCTGACCAAAAGCACTGACACCTTTATCAGTTCGTCCACACCTGTGATATTGGGATGTTTCTCGACTTTCTATTAAACATGACTTGGTCAGGGCATTAAATAAATGATGTTCTATTGTTTGTGTTGTATCCTCCTGCACTGCCAGCCCTTGATAGTTCCAACCAAAATATAATATTCTTAAAAGTACTCTCCTGAAGTGACATCTGAAAGTTATTAATTACTAAGTTATTATTTATTGTGTTAAATGAGTGATTTCCAAGAATCCACTTAGATTTAAGTACAGTTATATCAGTTATATATGGGATAACATAAAAAAATATCTTACTTCTTAAAATCAAATGGCCTTTTGTTAACTTCTGCGCTAGATTTCGGCTCATCTCCATTGCCTCTCTTACTTATTATATTTTTTAATTGTGAATTATGAGCTTCTAATTGTATTATTTTATCAACTAAGTCCTAAAAAAAACAAGATTAACATAAGCACAAGAAATGTAATAGGTTATGTTACTTAAAAACAAACTAACATTTTTGTCCCAATTAAGAAGTTCTTCACGAGTTATGTTTTTTGTATTATTCCGTTTTGGCGGAAGTTTAGCCATTAAGATATACTTTTTTGTTAGGTTTATTTGAAACTAACAAGATTTCAATTAGGTTTGATTAGTTTGCCTAATTAATTTCCCTCGTATATTTTGGTAACAATTTTTGATATCTGTCACTGTGTAGTACCAGTCAACTGTAATGATAAGCAAAACACTTGACGCTCAGTGCCATCTATTGACACATATTTGTAATAGCTGAACTTTTTGTTTAAAACAATTTTATTAAGTTTTTTTTAAATAGTTATAGATGTCGCTGTCTTATATTTTCCATAAAATGTTTTACTGAAAAATTTATGAAGGTAGATTATTTGTTTGGTGATTATTCTACGATTGACTGAGTAATTTTCAAGTAGATGCACATTTCAAATCATATTTTGGTAAACTAACGCAAATAATTAATCTGTGAATAAGTTAAAAAGACACTCTTGGTCTGATATTTCATGAAGAGACCATCGTTAATTGAATTATGTATATATCATTTGAAGTTTCGTTGTTATCAATAAAAAGTGCCGTTTGATACACGCAGACTTGATTAAAAGTTAAGCTTAGCTGCTGCTCAAATATTAAATCGCGTCGTTCGTCAAAAAAGAAAAATAATGAAAATGTGGCGCCAACATTTTGACAGTTGTCAGAACCCTTCAGTAAATGTCGTGTAAAATTTATAGTGTGAAATGTCGTTTGATAAATGTATTTGAAATAATAGACTTTGTGTTTTGAGAAACATAAAACAAATATAGTATTGAAATATTAACCAGGATTTTCGTAGTTGCTGGTAAGTTGCATTATATTATTTCTTAAGCATGCTAAATATATATTTTGTCAGCTGTTTTGAAAAATTACTCGTCATGGTCATGGGTACCTAAGTCAAATTGATGTTCTGCAGTTCAGCTCACGGTTCAAACGTGTGAAGCTAATCATTGAACCGGCTCGCAGCTTAGCTTAATCTGTACCTGCATAGTTATGATATAATTTGCGTTTCGATTTGCGAACTGCGTGTCACTAGGCCCAAATAATTATAGTACATGGCGATGAGCTTTATGATGCTAATTTAGTTGTTAAGCCAGCAACTCAATGGATCAAGCCCATTAATATGAACTGAACTTTTGAACCGATTCAGAGTTGATATATACATACACGTCTAGTCCTTGTAGGCACGTCAACACTGATTGCAATTATATAAACATAATAATGTTTTTGTTTTATTTAATTTAATACTGCCCTTTGTGAATGCCTTGCGACTGCATGTTGTAAAATTCCGATATAAAATAGAGAAATCAATTTTAAAATATTACTTTTAAATTTCCGTGCATTTAATATTAAAATGTAACAAGAAAATGTATCATTGCATTGACTTAGTATAACTATGCGAGGTAAATCATTGAACCTGAAATGGAAAACGCATTTGAAGGTTAGCCAGTATATTATATATATAGCGATATAGAAATGTAGGTTAATAGTATCAATGTTAATTGTGTTAGGTACATTTGCAATGACTTTGTTAAACTTTTTAAATTTATACACCTGGCAGGTATCACAAAATTGTCTACGATTTGAAATTCGACGATTAGATGCTGATTAATTACAAGCGGTTGCCCGCGACTTCGTCCTCGCTAATGTTTAAAAAAACATAATTAGTAGCCCACGTGTTCTTCCAGACTTTTTATCTATGTCAAATTTCATCCAAATCCATTCAGCCGTTCTAGAAAAACCTTGTATGCGATTTTTTCGTTAATTTTTAATAGCAAAATGTGAAATGATTCGTAAACGTCATATTGCTAAGATATAAACAGATTAAAAATGACGTGTTCGTGTTTCAAAAATAGTTTCTTATTTGAGGACATATTTCCTGTATTTGTGGATAGAAGTAGATTAAAATAGTCATTACTGATGTTACGAAAGGCGTTGCGTTACTCGGTTGCAGCACTAGCACGTAATATTCTTAACTAAGTCAAAGCGTTAAACCCGACTGAGATTTATGACGTCATATGACTCATCGGTTTATAGAAAATTGGTGCTACTGCGTAAATGTCCCTTATGAAATCGTTAGATTTCAAGTGAGGTGTTTTTTTTATTTCATAAGGTGGCAAACGAGCGAGTGGCTACCTGAAATCGCTGAAATAGCGAAGTGACTGTTGCCCAGAGACGTGCGCAATAGCATATGCGTTGCCTACCTTTAATCGACGGAGGAGAGGAAGCTCAGAAAGAAAATATTTTCCCTTCATCCTCTATCCTATTTTTCCTCTCATCCGGAAAATTCATTTCCGCTTCCCATCTTTTCCTTATAAGAAAAAAGAAATTAAAAAAAGGGTGGGAAGGGAAGAGGACTAAATTAGGCTAATAATTATTGTGTCAACTGTAATTGAGTTTTAAATTATTTCTCCGTTACAGTAAAGAAGTAGTTGATCAGCTATCAAAAGAAAAGTTTCTCTTTCACAGTTGTTTTCTGTTTCTAATGACATTTTAAACGGTTGTTCTCATAATCTGGTGCAAAATACAAATCCCCAGTGCAATGAACAACAGAACACACGTGTAATTATGTTTAAATATAAACATTTGTGATATAATCCAAGTCGATTACGTCTTGACTGTATGAAATGGAAAGTTGTTCTTACAAGACGCGTAAACAAAACTTGATCAGAATGCATTCAGTATGTCCTTATTAATGAATTAAAACGAGTAATATTAATTTACGTAAACGTAAGCCTACGTAAATCCTTTTTAGACGTAGTAGAGACTATAATTTGCTGCCATTATTTTTTTTTAATTTTAGTTATCTTTCTTCTTACTAATATTATAAATGCGAATGTTTATATGGATGTATGTTCGTTTGAAGGTATTTCCGAAACAGCTTAATGGATCTGACTGGAATTTGGCATTAGAACATAGTCTGGAAGATCACATAGGCTACTTATTAAGTTTATTTTTAATTCCGCGCCGACGGACTCGCGGGCGACAGATAGTTATCTATATATGGTCTGTTATATAAAATGATACAATTATCTTATAGTTTGATCCATGCAACAATTAACTTTATACTAATAAAATTAGTGATGGCCGTAGCTTTCTATCACCGTTGGCCCTACCACGTATCCATATCTCGTGACTTGCGTGCAAAGTGATGCACGTACGAGTTGAGGTCGTAGTTGCGCGACTGACCTCCATCCGGTTGGAGTCCGGAGTTGGAGACACTTGGTCTTACGAAACTGAACATTGGAGGTCAATTGCCCCACATGTGATGGGAAAGACCGACAATACTCTTGGCTAGGTTATATTTGTATTGATGTCCTCACAATGCTTTTATTTCGATATATAATTTATTCGATATTTCCAAATTCATATACAGAGTTTGTGAAATTTTCAATTATCATATCTTATTAATATTATATATACCAATGTTTAGATGGATGGATGTTTGAAGGTATCTTATAGAACGGCTTAACGGATCGTGATGAATTTTGGCATACATATAGAACATAATCTAGAAGAACACATAGGCTATTTATAAAGTATTTATTTAACTCCACGCGGACGGGATCGAGGGCGACAACTAGTATCACTATAAAAATATAATAGTCATGTATATTCTCGTACTTAGAATAGACTTAACGTTATGAGTAGTTCATCTTCTGTTTTTGATTTTATTCACCACTTTTGCGTATACTGATTCCACAATTTGACGGATTATCGATTGCACAAATAGCGTAGCACATAACCTAGTCCCGGTTTTACATTTTTGTCAATACAAGGCCTTGCCTTGACGTTGTTACCTATTATCGTATCACAATTCCGACACCTGTAACGCTGTAGTAATTACACTTTGACCAAGACATTTATGTTGATAATTACAAAGTTCTTTTTCTTAACTACGAGCTATTAAGTCCATTATAGACATGCAAACTTACAAACACTCGTGGTTGCGTAATATCTCCATTTTCTATCAAGTATATTCAACTAAGAAACGAAAGATGATTTGTTTATAACTACCACGTCATAAGTAACATTTTGATTATAAGTTTTTTTGCTGCTATGAAATTAATATAAATATATGCGTAAGCATTCACGAATTAAGTTAATAACCATTCGAACGATCTTAAATTGACGATCGACGATCTCGTACGAAGTTCATCATTCGATTTATTTTACAAAAAATGTATTTTTTTCTTCATACAGATAGTTACCGAGTTACATATAATCACTAAAACTATGTTATTGAAGCTATGTTGTTAGTGGTAAGCGTGAAACTGAGCACCATCTCGTGCGCGACCGCATAATTAAGTCGGCAACCAGCGCGGAAACTGCAAAACTCTCCAAACATGAAGTAGTCGATCATTTCACATATTGTATATCAGACAATTTGTCTCATACAAATCAACTTCAAATCAATGTTATTCTTTCCTATTAATATTATCTTAGAGTAAATTTAACGGGATATTATTAACCCAGGGTTTCCAAGTACAAAATCTCGCATTAAAAATATCGTCATCTCTGTCATTATCTTTGACAACACTATATTTATTTTATTTTATTAATATATTTTAAACGCAAATTTACAGGGTTTAAAGGTCGATTTTTTTTTGTGTGAGAAAATTATTGCATTAAGAAATTTTCTAGGTGGCCTTATTTCTGTTTTAAAAGCTTATAGCGGCTTAAATAAATGACATAATTTGTAATAGTAACCTAATTGTGAAAACAGCGATTTAACTTTATCTACGCCGGATGAATCTTATCTTGTTTATTCAAGACATTGCAGGGATTAAGTAAATTAGGTCATAATCCTTTAAATGGGAGATTAAACTGAGACTCCTGACCTAAAGATCTTTATCCCTTCTATCAAAACTTATTGCCCAATCTATTGCACACTTGTCTGTCCAATACATATGTTTTGGATTTTATGCCGTTGACGTAATATATGTCAAAATATGTGTCCATATTCAGGTGTTTCTTGCATCCGTTTTTGTTAAGATTTCTCACAAAATTATAATTCATATCTTACATTGTAAGGATATTGATATCATAGTTGGTTAATTAAACGACTGTTTGTTTCATTTTATCATCATCATCAACCTGCCCTTATTGAGGGTCGGCACAGTATGTACTACTCCTCCATACATCTCTATCAGCCGTCATATCTTAGTCTACCCCCTTCCTACGCATATTCTCTTTCACACAGTCATTCCATACTTTTTTTGGTCTTCCTCTACCTTTGTAGCCATCCACATTTTGTTTTGTTTGTTTCATTTTATATTGTATTTATTTGCATTAATTCAAATTGAATTATTTATTTTATCGTCTTGAATACTTCGCCTTTCAAGATTATGTTAGTCATTCACATCTGGCAGCTTCAAAATAATTATCTTGACAATGAATACACAGCGGCAACGGCCTTAGATCTGTTTATATGATGTCAATGTTACTTCCTACATTCTTGTCATCAGTCAAGTAATGCCAAGTTCGATCTTAAGTAAAGTTAAGATTGAACTTGGCATTACTTGACTGTAATTTTGTGGCGACTCAAAATATATATTGACTATATAACGTGTACATATGATGTCACTAATTATCTATTCGTTAATTTTGATCTTTTACTAATGGACTGTAAATATGTTTTCATATAAAGCCTCTTTAATTGTGATAGTTGTCCAGTAAAGTATTTTTTTTATTCAAGGACATATAATTTTAATAAAAGCATATGTAAATTAGTGCTGTTGATCTTGCATGTTTTAAGTGAGATTTTCAGTACTATTATATTTTACTTCTTGCTAATATTATGAA